CTATCTTGTCCTAGACAGTCAGTTCCCACACTCTATCCTACCCTAGACAGTCAGTTCCCACACTCTATCTTGTCCTAGACAGTCAGTTCCCACACTCTATCTTGTCCTAGACAGTCAGTTCCCACACTCTATCCTACCCTAGACAGTCAGTTCCCACACTCTATCTTGTCCTAGACAGTCAGTTCCCACACTCTATCCTACCCTAGACAGTCAGTTCCCACACTCTATCTTGTCCTAGACAGTCAGTTCCCACACTCTATCTTGTCCTAGACAGTCAATTCCCACACTCTATCTTGTCCTACTAGACAGTCAGTTCCCACACTCTATCTTGTCCTAGACAGTCAGTTCCCACACTCTATCCTACCCTAGACAGTCAGTTCCCACACTATCTTGTCCTAGACAGTCAATTCCCACACTCTATCCTACCTAGGACAGTCAGTTCCCACACTCTATCTGTCCTAGACAGTCCCGTTCCCACACTTATCTGTCTAGACAGTCATTCCCACACTCTATCCTACCTAACAGTCAGATTCCACACTCTATCTTGTCCTAGACAGTCGTTCCCACACTCTATCTACCCTAGACCAGTCAGTTCCCACACTCTATCTTGTCCTAGACAGTCAGTTCCCACACTCTATCCTACCCTAGACAGTCAGTTCCCACACTCTATCTTGTCCTAGACAGTCAGTTCCCACACTATCTTGTCCTAGACAGTCAGTTCCCACACTCTATCCTACCCTAGACAGTCAGTTCCCACACTCTATCTTGTCTAGACAGTTCCCCACGTATCTTGTCCTAGACAGTCAGTTTCCCAACTTCTATCCTACCCTTAGACAGTCAGTTCCCACACTCTATCTTGTCCTAGACAGTCAGTTATCACACTATCTTGTCCTAGACAGTCAGTTCCCACACTCTATCTTGTCCTAGACAGTCAGTTCCCACACTCTATCCTACCCTAGACAGTCAGTTCCCACACACTATTCACCACAATCACACTGCGAGAATAGGCAGTGAGTCGATGTGTAAATAACGAAGATCTCTCCTTGGACGAAAAGCTGATAACTTGATAACTGCCTATATGAGCAAAACTCGATATAATAGTATATGCTTACACTATTTTTCGTGTCCTTGTCATCCACAAACACACTGGTCCAGTTTCTCCTTTACAGCACTGTAACTCCAAAGACACTTCTCCAAGGTCTTTTGTGCGTCAACCCAGGGTAGTTTGATAGTGTTTTATGTTTGACGTGCGACACTTCTGTAGAAGGTCGTTTGTGCGTCAACCCAGGGTAGTTTGATAGTGTTTTATGTTTGATGTGCTGTTTATACGCTAAATCCAGTTTCCATTACCCACAAGGAATATAATTTCTGTGATGTTTAATGCAAAGAATATCAAAGCTAAGGCCGTAATGACTTAAAGATTCAACAGGTTACCTTTTGAAAACCAGGAAAATTAACTCATGTTCCCTGAGGACCATTGCTCTTGTTGAACAAACCTCCAGAATTTCTCATTTCGGCAGAAGGAAAAAAAGTTGAGGAATATTTCATAAACGGCAGCTGGCGTCCCGCAGGTCGAGTTCGCTGGCTTTTGTGGTCGCTTTGTGTAAGCAAGAGTTTACACTTTCTCAAGTAATTTGGTTTACACTTTTCTTTTGTAGTTTAGATTATATGAGTTTTTGTGATGGGCGGCGTGTGTAGGGGTTCCTCTTACACCTTGGAGGTACAGTTTATACGATACTCAGATTATTAAAAAATATTGGGAGTACAAGATCAGCAAGTACAGGGACATAAGCCAACAGTATCAATTTGTTCCAGTGGGATCAGAGACCTTGGGATCATGGGGGGAAAAAGTGCCACACGATTCCTTAAAGAACTGGGCTCCAGGCTCATCGATACCACAATGGACCCAAGGGCAGCCACTTTCATGTTCTAGCGCCTCCGTGTTGGATCCAGCTGGGGAAATGCTTGTGCATGTATTACTTTGCTCGCGTCGGCTATCGGAGGAAGCTGGATGGGAATTCATAATTTTTATATATATATCACAATGTATTTATTTTATGTGTCTATCTGTCAGTGTATTCTGTCTATATTGAGGCACCCACGATGGTGTGGGTGCCTCAAATATATATATTAATTATTATATATATAATACAAGTATATAATATATATGCTTTAAATTTAGTTATTATATTGAGACCCACACCATCGTGGGTCCAACAACATAATATGTAGATTTTCATGCAGAGAAGGTACAGGTATAGCACTTGGGTTGCTTTCAGAATTTGTCTTGTGCCTATCGAGATTCCCAACTCGATCTGGGCAGGACGAGACAATATGTGCAAGGCTATTTTCACACTTTCCCCTGTTCAGCTTAGCAGTAATACCTGTGTATTAACGACAGGTGTGACTGCATCAGGCAAGAACCAGTATAGTCTTGCCTTGCCCTAGATGAGCTGGGCAAGGTAAGACTAGATATCTACCCTAGGTCTACTTTCACTCTTGTCCTGTTCACTTATCAGTGTTGATTTCACTGTGTGATCTAAACAGGGGGTCAAACACCCTCGATCGGTCATGACAACCTGCAGTGGATCAGGCCTAGAATCAACAGGCTGTTACTGTTGTCGCGCGTAAACCGACGTGAACACAGCTCCGACTGATGGGAAACTGGACTTTAAAAGGTGCTTGTTTAGCTCTATTAAACAGGCTGATGCCACCCAACTTGTTAGCTGGCATCTTAAGCAGGACTAGATGTTTGGACGAAACTGCTTACACCTGTTTAGTAACAATGGTAGACATTACAAAGAATGCTAGTATGATCAAGACCTATGTGACTTTCAATGTGGTACGTTACTCTCCAGGAGCTGTGACGACTTGACAAAACTGCTGGACCATTTGGACTGAAAGGTCGTCATAAGTTTTCAGTCTTTTATTTGAAACACCCCTGGCTGTCTTCAAGACCCCTGGCTGTCTTCAAGACCCCTGGCTGTCTTCAAGACCCCTAGCTGATCTTCAAGACCCCTGGCTGTCTTCAAGACCCTGGCTGTCTTCAAGACCCTGGCTGTCTTCAAGACCCCTGGCTGTCTTCAAGACCCTGGCTGTCTTCAAGACCCCTGGCTGTCTTCAAGACCCTTAGCTGTCTTCAAGACCCCTGGCTGTCTTCAAGACCCTTGGCTGTCTTCAAGACCCCTGGCTGTCTTCAAGACCCTTGGCTGTCTTCAAGACCCCTGGCTGTCTTCAAGACCCCTGGCTGTCTTCAAGACCCTGGCTGTCTTCAAGACCCTTGGCTGTCTTTAGACCCCTCTGTCTTCAAGACCCCTGGTGTCTTCAAGACCCCTGTTGTCTTCAAAGACCCTTTGGCTTCTTCAAGACCCTTGGCTGTCTTCAAGACCCCTGGCTGTCTTCAAGACCCTGGTGTCTTCAAGACCCCTGTTTCTTCAAACCCCTGGCTGTCTTCAAGACCCTGGTGTCTTCAAGACCTCTGGCTGTCTTCAAGACCCTTGGCTGTCTTCAAAACCCTTGGCTGTCTTCAAGACCCCTGGCTGTCTTCAAGACCCTTGGCTGTCTTCAAGACCCTTGGCTGTCTTCAAGACCCCTGGCTGTCTTCAAGACCCCTGGCTGTCTTCAAGACTCTTGGCTGTCTTCAAGACCCCTGACTGCCTTCAAGACCCCTGGCTGTCTTTAAGACAATTGGCTGTCTTCAAGACCCTTGGCTGTCTTCAAGACCCCCCTCTCTTCAAGACCCCTGACTGTCTTCAAGACCCCTGGCTGTCTTCAAGACCCTTGGCTGTCTTCAAGACCCCCTGACTCTCAAGACCCCTGGCTGTCTTCAAGACCCCTAGCTGTCTTCAAGATCCCCTGACTCTCTTCAAGACCCCTGGCTGTCTTCAAGACCCCTGGCTGTCTTCAAGACCCCTGGCTGTCTTCAAGAAGGTGCTGGACAGACACCAAAAGTCAGTTCCTGACCAGCCGGGCTGTAGTTTGTACGTTGGACTGCGTGTGGCCACCAGTAACAGCCTGATTGATCAGACCCTGATCCACCGCAAGGACTGGTCATGGACCGGGCTGCGGGGGCGTTGACCCCCCACACCCCCCTTCAAATATATATAGTAAACATATCGTGTCAAGCAAGGAGGTAGCGAGTACGTCGCAATTAACAGTACGCAGTACTGTTTCACCTTGAAACTCGACTCTCGCCTTGATAGACTTTATTAGAGAGTGCCGTTTGTATTGCTAGGTAGTATATAGATCTGAGTGCCTTCCCAATGAGTCAAACAACCAGTGAGTCAGAGGAAATAAGTCACACCGTTTTACTATTGGGTCACCCTAAATCACTTGTTTTCCAATTAATAACTCAGCTGTCAGATGGTCGGTCCTCAAGGCCATTGTAATACAATGTCAAGTTATACATGGAATACCTAAATAAAAGGCTACTTGGTTACAAATGTTTCTGCTTAAAAATATTCACCCATTTTCTACTATATTTGGCTGGATTCGAATGCTTCCATTTCTCTCTGTGGGTCAACTTCGACGGAGGAATATTATTTACGCCCTGCTGGGCTCTGGTGATTAATTTATGCTGGATAATGTAATTTTCTTTTTAATTTGGCATATAAATGAAGCAATGAGGAGGTCCATTGGATCCTTAAGAAAAATATCGTCAATAAATCAGAACAAAAACATTCTCATGGCGCAAGGCGAGATACGTTCTAGCGGTTTCTTACTTAAATAACTTACTATTAAAACTTCCAGCATACACATGTATAAATACCAAAAGCCTCACGATGTGTGTAAAAATCCGGAGACTTTTTAGAGGAGTAGTGGAGGGACATTAGAGTGACTTAGCTGTATTAACTTTTAAGGTTAAAATAATAAGATATTACAAGGACCCCAATGAAAATAAGTCACTTTACCTAACATTTTTGAGTTATCCTAGATGATTAACACTATATATGATAATTGTACTTATGTGTACCTGTACGTAAATAAACTAAGTATAGTTAGTAGTGAGCTGCTGGAACGCAGTGATGGAGGCCTTGTTATGTGACGTCACAGGTACAAACAGAGAGAGGAGAGAGAGAGAGAGACAATATTTCCCAGTGTTTTAGCCCTTTGTGCCCCCCCCTCTCTGGATCATCTGGAGTGGCGGGAGTCATGGATTCAGACGAGGAGTACCCGTACGACTGCGACAGCGGCAACGAGTCGAGCGGGGACGACGTGGGTCTTGACTTCGACATCGAGGGTGAATCAGGCAGCAGCAGCAGCAAGTACAGGGACACTGAGGACTACCCTTACGAGGTCCTCTCCACCGAGGACATCACCAGGCACATGATAGACTGCATCAAGGAGGTCAACAGTGTGGTTAATGTGAGTACCAGCCAGGGGGAGTGGGGGGCGCACTTCCCCCCTCGACTCCTCAACAACCCCCAATGAAAATTAAATCACTATATCACCCCTTTTTTGGGGGGAGGGGGAAGTTCTTGATAATTTACACACATATGTGATAATTGTACTTATGTGTACACCTGTACCTAAATAAGTAAGGTCCTTAAAAGTAATTAAACTTACAAGGAGCCTAATGGAAATAGTTCAGACTGTTTTTATTTTTTATTTTTTTTGGGGGGGAGGTTATCCTAGGTAATTTACGTATATTTTAAACTGTGTATGATAATTTCAATTATGTGTATCCATAATTAAAAACTTACAGGAACACTAATGGAAATAAATGATTTTTTATTTTTTGGGATGTTATCCTAGGTATTTTACAAGTTTTACTATATATATATATATATATATATATGTATGTACCTGTACCTGAATAAACTTACTTAATTACTTGAACAACAAAACATAGCTCTTGTAATAAATTTTCGAGGAATGTTATTTAAGAAATGTGTTATTTACTTATTAAAACAAGGAAATTGCAAAATAAGTGTAGTTATAACTAAATTTTTGCAATTGCTATTTTATTTGCAAAATTCTGTGACTCCACATTGTGTGGTCCTTGAAGGTGGTGCCTGGAGGATCGGTGAACAGCACTTGATCCATGGAAATAAAGCTGTCCTCTTCCTTGGATTTAACCTCGTCACCTCCCAGGCCCTATATAACCCCTGGAATTTTAATTGTTTACCCACGAAAGTAACTGCAGTAATAATCCATGTATGAGTAGCACGATTCAACAGGTAGATGAGCACTGGACACGTCACGACATTACCCGACGGAGGATGGAGCCTCCCGGTCTTTGTCTTGAATGACGTACATGCCAATAACACTGCACTCAAAAAATAGACTGAGGCCATTTGACTGTCTGCCAAGTGGCCAAACGTAAACTGACATTGAACTGTCTTGCTAAATGTGTCATGCTCTTATTTTTCATTTGTTTGTGGTGTTACGTTTGGTTTTTATAGGCATATTTTCTTTTTTTCTTTTCAACATGTCGGCAGTATCCCACCAAGGCAGGGTGACCTAAAAAGAAAAGCTAAAGTTTTAGTAATTTATACAGGAGAAGGGGTTACTAGCCCCTTGCTCCTGATATTTTAGTCACCTCTTATGACACACATGGCTTATGGAGGAAGAATTCTTTTTCACTTACCCATTGCTATTAATAGATTTATGTAATCTAATTATTATTATTACAGTCAAAACTATGCACCAAACCCACAAATGTCTTGCGAGTTTGGCCCCACTTAATAGCCGTGTCATTAACATTAAAAAACTGCTTGCTACCTGGCTGTAGGGCAAATAGACATTTACAAACAAATACTGTAGCTATAAGCAAGTTTATTTAGGTACAGGTACACATAAGTATAATTATCATACATAGTGAAAATTACCGAGATAACCCAAAAAAGTCAAAGAAGTATAGCTCACACTTTAGAATATTTCCTGTATCTTGTTCATTATAGTATGTTAGGAAATAATTGAAATGTCTCATTAGTGTAATTCATTATCTTGCATAACTGATCAATAGAAACTTAATAAATCTCAAGGTTGATGAAGTAATTTACATAGTGACATGTAATGACTCACGGAATCGTAATGACACGATTGCAAATAAACCATACCACGGGCGGGATTTGAACCCGCAGTCAGAGAGTCTGGAGTTTTGAGACTCTGACCGCGGGTTCAAATCCCGCCCGTAGTATGGTTTGTGACATGTAATGTTAGCAGTACTGCTATTCTGTTGACTATTATGTTTTGTTAACACATCGGCCATTTCCCACCAAGGTAAGGTAGCCTGAAAAAGAAAAACTTTCACCATCATTCACTCCATCACTATCTTGCCAGAGGTGCACTTACACTACAGTTATAAAACTGCAACATTAACACCCCTCCTTCAGAGTGCAATCACTGTACTTCCCATCTGCAGGACTCAAGTCCGACCTGCCGGTTTCCCTGAATCCCTTCATAAATATCACCCTGCACACATTCCAACAGCACATCAAGTCCTAAAAACTATTTGTCTCCATTCACTTCTATCTAACATGCTCACACATGCTTGCTGGAAGTCCAAGCCCCTTGCACACACAACCTCCTTCTACCCCACCTTCCCTCCACTGCAGATTTATACACTTGAAAGTCATTCTACTTTGTTTCATCATCTCTTCATGTCTGAACCACCTCAACAACCCCTCCTCAGCCCTCTGGATAATAGTTTTGGTAATCCCGCACCTCCTCCTAATTTACAAACTATGAATTCTCTGCACTTTATTCACACTACACATTGCCCTCAGACACAACATCTCCACTGCCTTCAGCCTTGTCCTTGTTGCAACAATCACCACCCATGCTTTGCACCCATATTAGAGCATTGGTATAACTATACTCTCATACATTTCCCTCTTTGCTTCCATGGACAAAGTTCTTTGTCTCCACAGACTCAGTATACCATTCATCTTTTTTCCCCTTATAAATTCTGATTCACTTCATCTTTCATAGACCCATCTGCTGACACATCCACTCTTAAATATTAGAATACACCTACCATCCGACTTATGACCTGCTCGACTTACGACCACTCGACTTACGACCACTCGACTTATGACCACTCGACTTACGACCACTCGACTTACGACCACTCGACTTACGACCACTCGACTTACGACCACTTGACTTACGACCACTCGACTTACGACCGTGTTTTTTATGCCAAATTTCTGGGAAATAAACAACTATTTGTGTTGTACACAGTGTTTATCCTAAACCTTACAGTATAAAATACAGTACTAACAACATAAAAAGTAAAGTAAAACATGAAATACTAAAATAAAACAATAAAATAAAGTCATTGCAAAAATGTTTTGTTGATATTCAGTAGTAAAGTTCGACTTACGACCGGTTTCTCGGAACCGAACTCGGTCGTAAGTCGGATGGTAGGTGTACATTCACTTCCTTCACACACACTCCCTCCAATCTGATATCCAATCTTTTGTTACCTAATTTTTTGGTTATCCTCATCACCTTTCTCTTTCCTATATTCACTTTTAATTTTCTTCTTCTACATACCCTACCAAACTCATTTACCAACCTCTGCAGCTTCTCTTCAGAATCTCCCAAAAGCAGTGTCATCAGCAAAGAGCAACTGTGACAGCTCCCACTTTGTGTTAGAGTCTTTATCTTTAAACCCCACACCTCTTGCCAATGCCCCAGCATTCATTTCTCTTACAGCCCCATCTATAAACATATTGAACAACCATGGTGACATCACACATCCTTGTCTAAGGCCTGCTTTTACTGGGAAATAATCTCCCTCCCTCCTACATATTGTAACCTGAGCCTCACTATCCTCGTAAAAACTTTTCACCGTTTTAAACAACCTACCTACCTATTCCATGCATTTGCAACATCTGCCACATTGCCTCCCTATCCACCCTGTCATACACCTTTTCCAAATCCATAAATGTCACAGAAACCTCTTTACCCTTATCTAAATACTGTTCACCTATATGTTTCACTGTAAACACTTGGTCCACACACCCCCTACCCTTCCTAAGCCTCCTTGTTCATCTGCTGTCCTACTCTCCATCTTACTCTTAATTCTTTTAGTAATAACTCTACCATACATTTTATCAGGTATTCTCAACAGACTTATTCCCTTATAATTTTCTCAGTCTCTTTTGTCCCCTTTGCCTTTATACAAAGGAACTATGCATGCTCTCTGCCAATCCCTAGGTACCTTACTCTCTTCCATACATTTATTAAATAAAAGCACCGACCACTTCAGAACTATATCTCCACCTGCTTTAAACATTTCTATCTTTATCCCATCAGTCCCAGCTGCCTTACTCCCTTTCATTCTACCCACTGCCTCACAAACTTCACCCACACTCACAACTTGCTCCTCCTCACTCTTACAGGATGTTATTCCTCCTTGCCCTATACATGAAATCACAGCTTCCCTATCTTCATCAACATTTACAATTCTTCAAAATATTCCCTCCATCTTCTTGATACCTCTAACTCTCCATTTAATAACTCTCCTCTCCTACTTTTAACTGTCAAATCCATTCGTTCCTTAGGCTTCCTCAGCGTATTAATCTCACACCAAAACTTTTTCTTATTTTCAACAAAATTTGTTGATAACATCTCACCTACTCTCATTTGCTCTCTGTTTACATTGCTTCACCCCTCTCTTAACCTCTCATTTCCTCTCCATATACTCCTCCCTCCTTGCATCACTTCTACTGTGTAAAAACCTCTCATATGCTAATTTTTCTCTCTTACTAATCTCTTTAGATCATCATTCCACCAGTTGCTCTTCTTTCCTCCCGCTCTTCTTCCCTGTTGTCTAATGGGAGACGGTGTTTTGCAGAAGAGACACTGCTTTTATTTTAAGCTCAATGTTAATTTACCAGCAGCCGGGTACCCAAATATAAATAGATATTAAAATGCATTGCCAGACATGCCATGTTTATTTATTTTTAATTTGTTTATTTGTGGTTAAATATGTTTTTTATAGGTTAATGTAACCTAAAATAGCCTAAAGTATAAACTGGTTGCTAACTGATTTCTATGGTCAGAGCTTTTGCCAAACTGCTTGTTACTCATCTGCCAGGCAGATATATTCGATTTGTGATACAGATACATGCCTGTCACTGCTTTTGAGAGTTCTTGCTACTCCTGCAGCCTAGCCATTGGCCAGGCTTGTCTGGTATTTGCCTGATTAGTCAGGCTGTTGCTTTCGTCAGCCCAGATAAGATCACAGCTTGGTTGATATGGTACTTGGTGGAAGTACAGTACTAGTCATGTTTCCCTTTGAAGACTTCCACTCTTATTCTGGCACTATTTCTGATATCTTCTGGTAGAATATTGAAAAGTCTGGGCTCAGGGATGTTAATACATTGTTTATTGATTATGATGGTAAATTTCACAAGAAACTGCACAGAACAAACAAATTTTAAAGAAGTTTATACTTTTACTAAGGAGCTAAAAATTCATTGATACCTGTATGTATGTATATGTACTCATCTATTTGTGGCTGCAGGGGTCGATTCATAGCTCCTGGCCCCTGCCTCTTCTCTGGTCGCTACTAGGTTGACTCCCTGCCTGCTCCATGAGCTTAATTGTACCTCATCTTAAAGTTATATATGGATCCTGCATCCACTACATCACTCTCCAGATTATTCCACTTCCTGACAACTCTATGACTGAAGAAATACTTCCTAACATCCCTGTGATTTATCTGAGTTCTTAACTTCCAGTTGTGACCCCTTGTTGCTGCGTCCCATCTCTGCAAAATTCTGTCCCTATCTACCTTGTCAATTTCTCTCGGTATTTTGTGTCACTATCATTTTCCCCTTATCCCTCCAGTCATCAGGGTGATTTCACTTAACCTCTCCTTGTAGGACATACCCCTTAGCTCTGGGACTAGTCTTGTTGCAAATCTTTGCACTCTAATTTCTTGACAAGTTTGACCAGGTGTGGGTTCCATACTGATGCTGCATACTTTAATATGTGTGTGTATGTATATGTATACAGGTACCATCCGACTTATGACTGAGTTCGGTTCTGACCAACCGGTTGTAAGTCGAAATGGACGTAAGTCGAACCTTACTGCTGAATATCAACATCACATTTTTGTAATGACTATTTTATTGTTTTATTTTGGTATTTCATTTTTTACTTTACTTTTTATGCTGTTAGTACTGTATTTTATACTGTAATGTTTAGGATAAACACTGTGTACAACACAAACAGTTGTTTATTTCCCAGAAATTTGGCATACAAAATACGGTCGTTAAGTCAAATGGTCGTATGTCGAGCAGGTCGTAAGTCGGATGGTAGGTGTATCTATCTAATTTATAACTACATTCCTATATACAGTATAATGTATTTATATTCATCCTTTGCAAAAAAATGTTTCAGATTCCAGTTACAACAACAAGAATATTGTTGAATCACTTTAAATGGGATAAAGAAAAGTTAATGGAACGGTTCTATGATGGCGACCAGGAAAAATTGTTCTCAGAAGCTCATGTTGTCAGTCCCTTTAAAGCAACTACTAAAACACCAAAAGTAAGTTGTAGCAATCATTTTACTGGGTACAGTACTTTGTTATAATTTTGTGAAATACCTGCCTTTGGTTGACATCAAGAAGAGCAGTAGCTGCACTAGTTAGTTTCCATGTTTATATAAATTGCTGTAGTGCTCAGTGGTTATAAAAACAGAATGTGTAGCTACAGAGGCTAAAGATACAGTATAGTAAAGAATATAAAGGCACAATACCGTGACCAGAGCAGTGCACAAATAACCACACACAGGAGAGAGAAACGTAATAACGACATTTCTGCCCGACTTGGACAGAAATGTCCATTAACTAGTCACACTGTGACAAGTTAATAGTTCAAGTTGGACTGAAACGTCGTCATTTTCTTTGTTATTTGTGTATACAGTACGAGTCTGGCCCATGGCTGGACTCGGGGTAGAAAGACTCGGAACTCATCACAGACATATTAAGGCATATGGTTTGCAAAGTGTGATGTTTTATAACTCCTAACCTATTCTTTCTATCAAAGAAATGAGAATTGTTTTAAAACTGTAGTTTTAAATTACATCCTCTCCTCACTTAGCGTCGTACTTGTTTACCGACCTCTCGGAGTTATGACCAGTTCTCTGACCAATATGCAAACCTAAGTAATGTACAATAGAGTTGATTTCTTCTATTCTGTTTATTACAGTATACAGTACACTACTGTTTAAACATTTAAAAATATATACTAAAAATGTTATAAATGGTGCACAGGTGACATTAAAAAATATCTAAAAATAGCTGACACAAACCCACTACCAGTACAGTATGCTCCTCACGTAATGACCAATTCACTTATCAACCTACTCTTAACAACAGAACTTGGTGGTGAAGTGAGGAGAGGCTGTATTTCATTTTGCTTAATTTTAGACATTGAAGATACTTTTGGGCCATCAAACAGTGCTTATGTTTAGAGTACTAGTACCATCCAACTTACGACCAAACTTGGTTTTGACCAACCAGTCGTAAGTCAAAATGGACACAAGTCAAACCTTAGACAATTGCTGACATACTGGGTAGGGCATAATGTCAAACCTTTGTTATATAAAGTACCTACATAATGGGAGAGCTGAAGATCGCGAGAAATGCTGTTGACGTTTTTTTTCCATCCTCGTACTGTTTGATTACTTTCATCTTCTGGTCGAGAGTAGAGCCTTTCTTGCCTTCTTACCACAAGCTCCTGTGCAAGATTCAGACTTCCTCTTAGGGGCCATGGTGATAGGGAAGGGTAACTCAAGAGTGATACTACCTGAGTAATGTGAGAGCTCTCCCGAGATGGTGCATCGTCGTGATTAGCGGTCAACTGTCGTACAGTGGTATGCATTGGCCCGCCCAGCCCTGCTGCCAGACATACGGTCGTAAGTACGAGTGGTCGTATGTTGAGCAGGCCATAAGTCGGATGGTACTAGTATATAGTGGAGCAAGAGCTCTATAAATGTACCAGTTTCTCAAGAAAGATAACAAACATCCTAGGCCAATAAAGATTTATTAAAGGTTTTATATAAAGTTTTTTGTTGATAATCTTACAGTTATAGTTATAGCAAGTGTATTATAGTATTTGCTGGTTTTGTCTCATATTAATTAATTTATTTATTGCAGGTACCTGTTAAAACTACTAATGGAATGGAAGAGTGTGAAATCTGCTTCCTGAACATGCCTTCTGCAGTAAGTATTGTAATCAAATCTTATTTGGGGTTCTTTCCTAGTTGCTTAGAATTAAGTTCTTCTGTATTTATTAAAATAAAATAAACTTGATTTCTTTTATACTTGGAGTACAATACACTATACAATTAGGGTAATTGACATATATAAACTACTTTATAGGAAGCCCCTTATTATGCAAAACATTTTGGACAGTATGAAAATACTCAGTGTGTTCCCTATTGAGCTTGGAAAAATTAAATTAAAGAATAATGTTTATCTGAACTTATCTTGTAAAATCCTTTTTTCCTTTAGTTCAGTGTTTCTGATATCTTGTGGTAAGATGCTGAATAGTCTGGTGCCACAGATATTGATATAATGTTTCCATATTGTGCCCACTACACCCATGCTTTTCATTGAGTTTATTTTGCACTTCCTCCCATATCTCTCACTCCAGAATGTTTGTTATGGCAGTGTACAGATTTGGGATGAGGCTTTGCTTTCTCATTCCTCACATTAACTTTTCTGTCTTGTTTAACTATATTGACTTCTTTTTCATACTTTTTAGCATGTCACACACTGCACCAGTTATTGCACAAGTTCATATTTTCTTCTCAGTTCTTCTAATAATACAAATGGATGATTTGCTCAAGCCAATGAATGATTTACTAAGTAAAGCTTTGATTTAACTGTGTACAGATTTGATGGACAAAATCCAAACAGTCCAAAATGACAGATAAAGTTGGTTGTTCCAGAATTCTATTGTTATTGCAGTACACTGAGTACATTGCTTTTGGAAACACTGGGCAAAGCTTGTTGTTTCCAAAATTGTCTAATATTGTTACATTCATTGGAAAACAATTTCATTTCTCAGATTTACCGGATAATTGGCATTAAAAGACATCTCCATCCTCCCCCCCCTCCCCCATTAGTCAGTTGTTTCCGTAGCACCTCCAAAGCATCACTAGTATTCCTTTTGGGTGTCTTGGTTAATATCCAGAGAAGAGATGGAATGATGGAAAGATCCAAAAACTTCCACAAGGCAACTGGTGGTGTGGGTAACAGTGTAGGTGGAAGAGGGAGTTTTTGGTACCATCTCAAAAACCAAACCAAACCCATTGACCCACTAGGGAACAGTGGTTACAAAAATCGATGACCTAACTACCACAATTTTTTGTTTATGTTTATCTTTCTGGCGTAATGGCACTTATTACAAATCCTCTTCCAGAACTGTTTTTTCAACTATGTCTCCATCATGCTAGGACAGTCTTGTGCAGTTTAATTTCCTTTACCTGACAGTCTGTTGTATTATCCTCTTATGTTTTGCTATTGTATGTGCCTCATTTCCCATTTCAAATGAGGTAAATAATCTGAAAGACAACTCCATTTTAAACTAGTGTATTTTTAGCTTATATACATGGTCTAAATACAGTGGGACCTCGGCACTCAAACTTAATTGGTTCCAGAAGGCTGTTCGAGTGCCAATCTGTTCAAGTATAAAACAGATTTTTCCCAACTAATTTTCTTTTCAGTTGACTGTTATCACTAACCCTCTTAGGCCCCATGGTGGCTTATTTATACAAATAATAGAAAAAAAATGAAGAAACACGAAATAGTTTACAGCAAAGTTCTGTGTTTGTTTGGTCAAGTGCCAAGCAAACAATTGACTACTGAGCGATTTGTTTACTGAACAGAGTTCAAATACCAAATTGTTCAAGTATACAGAGCTGTTCGAGTACCGAGGTTCCACTATATGTACTCTCCCAAACCGCTAGGGTGCTTCAACGTGTATTTTGTGCAACATTTTATTAGTATTGATGTGATCCATTTTCTCAGTACAGAAGCTGACTGAAAGGAGCGGCAAGTGACCAGTAATGATGATAGGAGGTAGCAAGTGTCCAGTAATGGTGATGCATAGCTTGTGACCAGTAATGGGGATTATGTTAGATGAAGATGAGATGATTTTGCCATGATCATAAAAATAATCAATTCTTTAACCACCACACTTATTCCATTAATTCTGAATCAGTTGACCCAGCAGGTTTTGTTCTGTATTTCCTTAGGCCATTGAGGGTTCTGTAATTAGTAATAAAATTTAATTATTTCTCATGAATTTTACAGCTTATAATTAACAAAGATAACTTCTTTTTGTAATTTGTCCAAGTAGGTTTTCTGCAAATTGGAAAAAAAATAGTTCTATTGTGCATTACAAAAAGAACTAAAATTGCTTTTAAAATATTCTATATGTGCTATTAATTGTTAAGTGCAAAGAGTAAAGTTTTAATTAATTTAAAAAAATGAATTTCTTGTGGAGAGGTATGTCTTTGTATTTATTTTCAGTATCTTTTATTCCATATAGCTAATACTACCACAAGTTAGATCTTACTTCTTTTACTTTGAAAGATGTTTGTACAATAATGTGTTGATTAAGATTTTAGAATATGTTCATAGTACTGTGTGCTCTTGTCTTCTGAACTGCTCTTCTTATGTCACTTTCAGATGATGACGGGTATAGAATGTGGACACCGGTTTTGTACAAGTTGTTGGACTGAATATTTAACTACAAAGATTATAGATGAAGGCATGGGCCAAACCATTTCCTGTGCTGCTCACTCCTGCTCTATCTTAGTTGATGACCACACTGTGATGAGGCTCATTGTAGATCCGAAAGTTAAACTTAAATATCAACACCTTATAACAAAGAGTTTTGTTGAGGTAAGAATGCATTTTACATTGAATATTTCTTGCTTCTTGTAATCTCCAGTAAACATGCATGTCTCATTTGTATGTAGATTACTAATCATTTTCTTGTTTAGCCATTCTGGAACAAATATAAAATATTAAGTCTATTGCCTATAATACAACCTCTTCTATCACTCAGAAATCTCTAATGTCTACACATATTTCTAGTGGAGGACTTGCCATATGCATGAGTTTAGGATTGTTGTTGGCAGTAGCATGCATAATTGTTCTATTTATTTTCTTTCTTTCCCTTTCCCACAATCTCGGTTCACACTACCTCGTTACAAAGTACACCTACTCTTGTGCATTGCATTTATTTCTTTTTACCATAAAGTGTATCATTATAGTGTTTACATGTGTCTTATCAATTAGAGAAAGCTTAAACATAGTCCAAGATCACTTGCTATTTCAAGAAAGCAAGTACCAGGTGATAAACATATGAACCTCTTTATTTCTAACCCAGCTTTTAGTAATTCAACAAGCACCTCCACACCTGCATGTTATATGCAGCTATCTGTACCTATAGATGACAGTAATGATGACTTCAGGCTCAGATGTTTAAGGGCCAATAATGATTATTAACCTCATCCTCTTGCCTCATCTTTCACATTTTTCTTCCTAGTCTCTCTCTCTCTTTTTTTTTTCTTTCCTTCTTCCTACCTAGTCTCTTCTATCCTCTTTATTTCCTCAGCTTTCTTGTGTTTAGAAATATAAGAGGTTGAGAAGGAGGGTAGACTCTACTGGTGGTAAACTAGAAATATTACACTCAAATACACACACAGATGCATATATGCACATTCATATTTACTCTTCATGATAAAGCATGTAGCATTTAATTTTGCTTGAATATATTGAAGATTGTTATACACCACAGTTATTCAAGGTAAATGTCACTGGGCTGTTTCCTTTTATTGCCTCACTAGACCCACTACATACATCAACTGTGGCAAAAGTTGCAACCAAACATCATGCACAGGAAGTGACAAATAACGTACAGGTAAAACACGGCATGATTTCTACACAACCATGATAATTCCAAGTTTGCAGGGCCCAAAATACAGCATTGTATGTCTTCTGTCCTGACAGGTTTACACTCCTTATGACATCGAACAAAGCTAAACTGGTAATTAGGAAGGTGAATAGAAGCATCCATTGCATAAGAGAAAAAACACTAAACAATCAGGGATTCCTCACTATTGCATCACTTATTGTCTAACTCAGTCATCAGAAACATGGCCCAACACATGATCTAATAATGTTAAGCCCCACTTACTCTATTACCACTGCACATTCCAACATTTCTCATTATCTGCTGTGATGAGGTAAACAACTTTGTGTTCATCTGTAGAGTATAATGAAACATGCTTGAATAGTGTTGTCCATTGCTTGGCTTACTAGGAAGAATGTATAAATGTACTGTTTTACAAATACAGTGGACCCCCGGTTAACGACTTTCTTATTCCAGTAGTATTTCAGGTGCCAGTTTCTGGGCGATTTTTCCCATAAGGAATATTGTGAAGTAGATTAGTCCATTTCAGACCCCCAAACATACACGTACAAACGCACTTACATAAATACACTTACATAATTGGCAGCATTTGGAGGTGATCGTTAACCGGGGGTCCACTGTATTGTGTGTGTGTGTTTCGTATTGGTGTTCAGTTTATTGCCTGTTTTATTTCATGGCTGACCTAGTTCTGGAAGTGGAAAGTAAGTTTCTGTACAGTAAGGAAGTGGGATGTTTTCAGTTCATTATATACACTGATGTCTGTGCATGTCTAGCAAAACAGCATTGATAAAGTTTAGGACTGGTTCTATGTTTTTTTCTCTCTTTTTGGGGGGGGAGGGAGGAGGGTATTACCCTACCAGTAGTAAAATAAATTCTTGGAATTTGTGGATATGATGGGGTAAGAGGTTAAGATAAAGGATGTAAGATATTAAGTTACATTATGATTACTTTTATATGGATTCTCACACAAGTAATTGTCATTTTAACCCTTAAACTGTCCAAACGTAGATCTACGTTCACTCGTGTGACACACTGAATAGTTTGAAAAATAAAAAAATCTTTTTTTCTTTTTTCTTTTTTCTTTTTTTTCTTTTAAAATGAAGAGCACATTTTTTTACATGTTATAGGATTAAAAAAATTTTTTTAGGGTAGTACTTACTGAGATAAAAGACCATGAAGTTGGCTCTGGATGCTCACCTGTCGTCAACATCAACTCCTGCTACTTGCAGAAGTGTTGCCAATATACCTTTTTTCTCGTTTTTATTTTAATTTATATAATGAAATTTATATAATGAAAGTAGTTTATTAGATTATGTATTGGTGGATAAAAGGTTGATGGGTAGGCTCCAGGATGTACATGTTTATAGAGGGGCAACTGATATATCGGATCATTATTTAGTTGTAGCTACAGTTAGAGTAAGAGGTAGATGGGAAAAGAGGAAGGTGGCAACAACAAGTAAGAGGGAGGTGAAAGTGTATAAACTAAGGGAGGAGGAAGTTCGGGTGAGATACAAGCGACTATTGGCAGAAAGGTGGGCTAGTGCAAAGATGAGTAGTGGGGGGGTTGAAGAGGGTTGGAATAGTTTTTAAAATGCAGTTTTAGAATGTGGGGCAGAAGTTTTTTGGTTATAGGAGGGTGGGGGGAGGAGGGAAAGAGGGGTGATTGGTGGAATGATGAAGTAAAGGGTGGTGATAAAAGAGAAAAAGGTAGCTTATGAGAGGTTTTTACAAAGCAGAAGTGTTATAAGAAGAGCAGAGTATATGGAGAGTAAAAGAAAGGTAAAGAGAGTGGTGAGAGAGTGCAAAAGGAGAGCAGATGATAGAGTGGGAGAGGCACTGTCAAGAAATTTTAATGAAATAAGAAAAAATTTTGGAGTGAGTTAAACAAGTTAAGAAAGCCTAGGGAAAATATGGATTTGTCAGTTTAAAAACAGAGTAGGGGAGTTAGTTAGATGGGGAGATGGAGGTATTGGGTAGATGGCGAGAATATTTTGAGGAACTTTTAAATGTTAAGGAAGAAACAGAGGCAGTAATTTCATGCACTGGTCAGGAGGTATACCATCTTTTAGGAGTGAAGAAGAGCAGAATGTAAGTGTGGGGGAGGTACGTGAGGCATTACGTAAAATGAAAGGGGTAAACAGCTGGAACTGATGGGATCATGACAGAAATGTTAAAAGCAGGGGGGGATATAGTTTTGGGAGTGGTTGGTACTTTGTTTAATAAATGTATGAAAGAGGGGAAGGTACCTAGGGATTGGCAGAGAGCATGTATAGTCCCTTTATATAAAGGGAAAGGGACAAAAGAGACTGTAAAAATTATAGAGGAATAAGCTTACTGAGTATACCAGGAAAAGTGTACGGTAGGGTTATAATTGAAAGAATTAGGGGTAAGACAGAATGTAGGATTGCGGATGAGCAAGGAGGTTTTAGAGTGGGTAGGGGATGTGTAGATCAGGTGTTTACTTTGAAGCATATATGTGAACAGTATTTAGATAAAGATAGGGAAGTTTTTATTGCATTTATGGATTTAGAAAAGGCATATGATAGAGTGGATAGAGGAGCAATGTGGCAGATGTTGCAAGTATATGGAATAGGTGGTAAGTTATTAAATGCTGTAAAGAGTTTTTATGAGGATAGTGAGGCTCAGGTTAGGGTGTGTAGAAGAGAGGGAGACTACTTCCCGGTAAAAGTAGGTCTTAGACAGGGATGTGTAATGTCACCATGGTTGTTTAATATATTTATAGATGGGGTAAAGGAAGTAAATGCTAGGGTGTTTGGGAGAGGGGTGGGATTAAATTATGGGGAATCAAATTCAAAATGGGAATTGACACAGTTACTTTTTGCTGATGATACTGTGCTTATGGGAGATTCTAAAGAAAAATTGCAAAGGTTAGTGGATGAGTTTGGGAATGTGTGTAAAGGTAGAAAGTTGAAAGTGAACATAGAAAAGAGTAAGGTGATGAGGGTGTCAAATGATTAGATAAAGAAAAATTGGATATCAAATTGGGGAGGAGGAGTATGGAAGAAGTGAATGTTTTCAGATACTTGGGAGTTGACGTGTCGGCGGATGGATTTATGAAGGATGAGGTTAATCATAGAATTGATGGGGAAAAAAGGTGAGTGGTGCGTTGAGGTATATGTGGAGGTCAAAAAACGTTATCTAATGGAGGCAAAGAAGGGAATGTATGAAAGTATAGTAGTACCAACACTCTTATAAGGGTGTGAAGCTTGGGTGGTAAATGCAGCAGCAGGAGACGGTTGGAGGGCAGCGGAGATGTCCTGTTTAAGGGCAATGTGTGGTGTAAATATTATGCAGAAAATTCGGAGTGTGGAAATTAGGAGAAGGTGTGGAGTTAATAAAAGTATTAGTCAGAGGGCAGAAGAGGGGTTGTTGAGGTGGTTTGGTCATTTAGAGAGAATGGATCACAGTAGAATGACATGGAAAGCATATAAATCTATAGGGGAAGGAAGGCGGGGTAGGGGTCGTCCTCGAAAAGGGGTTGGAGAGAGGGGGTAAAGGAGGTTTTGTGGGTAAGGGGCTTGGGCTTCCAGCAAGCGTGCGTGAGCGTGTTAGATAGGAGTGAAATGGAGAAGAATGGTACTTGGGACCTGACGATCTGTTGGAGTGTGAGCAGGGTAATATTTAGTGAAGGGATTCAGGGGAAACCGGTTATTTTCATATAGTCGGACTTGAGCCCTGGAAATGGGAAGTACAATGCCTGCACTTTAAAGGAGGGGTTTGGGATATTGGCAGTTTGGAGGGATATGTTGTGTATCTTTATATGTTTATGCTTCTAGACTGTTGTATTCTGAGCACCTCTGCAAAAACAGTGATAATGTGCGAGTGTGGTGAAAGTGTTGAATGATGATGAAAGTATTTTCTTTTTGGGGATTTTCTTTCTTTTTTGGGTCACCCTGCCTCGGTGGGAGACGGCCGACTTGTTGAAAAAAAAAAAAAAAAAAAAAAAAATATTTTTTATGTTCTGATAATTACAATTTATAATAGTTCTTGTGGTTTCATAGCCAATCTTTGTTCTGACACTAATATTAGGTACTGAAATAGTGCTCAAATAGTCAGTCACATTGACAGGTGAACATTTACACCTGCTTGGGTTATTTACTATTGTTTAGAAATATATACAAATTATTTATAGGTCCCAGCAATGTATTAGATACCCTGGCATATACCTTGAAGCATGTTGTTATGAAAGGCATCCCTATACTGTTGACAGCCTAGTGACAATTGATAAATGCCCACTGCTCCAGCTAACCCTCGCTGTATTTATCATCACTGTTACACACAAACATGTCTTGTCTCTGTCTATATGCCTGTCTGTCTGCCTGTTTGCCTGCCTGTCTGTCTGCCTGTCTATCTGCCTGCCTGTCTGTCTCTGCTTATCTGTCTTTCTGTCTGCCTGGAGTATAGGATATCAAACTCCTGGAAGAATCGTATTAAGACATCTGCTATCAGCTTGATGACATTTGATAAGTGGGTGCTCTGGGGAACCCTGGCTTTATTTGTTTTCACTGATACACACACACATGTTTCTGTCTATCTGTCTGTCTCTCTGTCTCTGTCTTTCTATCTGTCTATCTTTGCCTGGAATTTTTGGATTGTCCTAGGTAATTTACACCATGTATAATAACTGTACTTATGTGTACATGTGAGACAGAGATATAGATAGACAGAGATATAGACAGAGAGACAGCCAAAGCAAGCCAACCTGCCGAATACATAAGAACATAAGAAAGAAGGAACACTGCAGCAGGCCTACTGGCCCATGCAAGGCAGGTACATGTCACCCTCTTTTCCCTGGCTTAGACCAATGACCCACCTAGTAAGGTCACATCTATTGAAGGAAGGAGCATGACATCAGACCTAGTAGCACAAGCTGGTCAGGTTCAACTCACACCCACCCATACTCATGTATTTATCTAACCTATTTTTACTTTCCTCTTAAAAATGGGAGTGTTAATGCGACATGGCATCAGTGAATGTTTGGCAAGCTATTTGCTGTAGCTGGCGCTCAATTGAACTGGTGCTCCCACAAGGTACTAAGTGCTCCCAGATTTTTTTTAATAGTGCACACACTGATTGCACAGACCCATTCTTTCATGTCTAGGCGACTCAAGCCTATTGTGCCAAATTTGAAGGAATGAAAAATAAAACGTTGATCTACGTTTGGAACGCTACGCGTGCAAACATAGATCTATGTTTGGACAGTTTAAGGGTTAAAATAGATTATCACAGAAAATATAATTCCTTCTTTTCTTTAATCCTTTCATTATCGGAAGTACAGTGCCTGCACTCTGAACGAGGAATGGGGATTTTTGCAGTTTGGAACCGTAGTTTTGGCGCCCCTCTGGCAAGACAGTGATGGAGTGAGTGATGGTGAAGGTGTTTCTTCTTTTATGGGGCTGCCCTGCTTCAGTGGGAAACAGCCAGTTTTAAAAAACATAATATGCAATTGTCTGTAAGGTTCCTAACGACTTCCTGGAGCTACTTTTAAATTGTATGCTCAAAATCTGTGAACAGTTACTTTGTATTTTACCACTTATCTTTGGTCTGATTTTATTGAAATTGAGGCAGGACTCCATCAGTATATTGATTAAGGTTGAAATGTTGACATTTGATTAACTTGCACATGACAGTAAAGTAATTGCTGTTAGACCACTTTAAGTTTTATGTTAAAAAAAATGTTAGCCTGAGATGTGTTTAACAATAACAGAGCTCAGGCCCTGTAAATTGTTAATTACAAGACTTGTACACCTAATTCCTTTAATGGAAATGTTTGAATTAAGTGAAAATATTTTTCCATGACTGCATCTTTTGTCTAAAACAATTGGGAAATGTGGTAGAACCTTTATACAGTGTCAAGCCCTGTAGAAAGAAGATGCAATATTACTGTACAGTACTGTAATGATATACTATATTATACTATATGAACAGTGAGTGGAACATAATTCTTCCTGCACAAGCCATGCGTGTCGTAAGAGGCAACTAAAATGCCAGGAGCAAGGTGCTAGTAACCCATTCTCCTGTATATATATTATTAAATTTTAAAGGAAAAACTTTCGTTTTTTCCTTTTGGGCCACCCTGCCTCAGTGGGATATGGCCAGTTTGTTGAAAGAAGAAGATGAATAGTAAGTACAGAGATTACACAAAGCATTACAGATATTGTGCACCACTTCAATGGGTGAACGTGCCTTTTTAGTTTCAGTTAAATTCGGTAAATTATCAAATGAAAATTCTGCATTCTTAATTCAATATCTTTCATGTTTTGTTTTTTCACTGCCTACACATAACTAATATTGCTTTCTTCTGTGCATTACAGTGTAACCGACTATTACGCTGGTGCCCGTACCCAGACTGTAATTATGCCATCAAAGTGCAGTATCCTGATGCTCGGCCGGTCATGTGCAAATGTCGCAATGTATTCTGTTTTAACTGTGGTGAGAACTGGCATGATCCCGTTAAGTGCCACCTTCTCAGACGCTGGATTAAGAAGTGTGATGATGACTCGGAAACATCCAACTGGATCGCTGCAAATACAAAGGTGAGTATTAGATAGGTAAATAACATAAATTTGTCTCTCTGAAGTTTGTTTCTGCCAAACTTGTGTTGATAAGTCAAAGGCATTTTTTTTTTTTTTTTTGGGGGGGGGGGTCACCCTGTGTCGGTGGGAAATTGCTGATGTGTTTAAAAATATCAAAGGCTATTAATGTTTACAATTAGGTATGTCGCTTCTGCACTGAAAATAAGATAAATTATGTTTTGACTTGCAGTTGTGTAAAACATTATTGCACCAATGACCCCCGAAACCGAAACCCACTCCAGGTAAACCATACTCTGATGTTAGATTATTCAAACTGGAGTTAGAGTACAAGATATGGTTAATTTATAAAAGTACAAGTAAATATGCATTTTGAAAGGCATTTACAATTAAAATAATAAATTGTACAGTGGTACCCTGAGTTTCGAACTGCTCCCAGCTCGACCAATTATATAAGTGTATTATTGTCAGTGCTTTCGTAAGTGTATTTTTGGGGGTCTGAAACCGACTAATCTAATTTACATTATTCCTTATGGAAACAAATTCTTTCGGTAACGGCACTTGAACAGCCTTCTGGAACGAAGAAGGTTCAAAAATCAGGGTACTACTGTATAAGAAATAAAATATAAAATGTATTGTCATACTGTTGAATTTACAGATTATAAACAGTTATCCTACCTCAGCTTATTTTAAAAGCCATCCCTATCTAAAGTATACAACTGCCCCTCAGGGATGCAACCACAAATGTCAGCTTATAACCAAGCACCTATTTATTGTTAAGTAAACAGGGGCATGAGGTGCAAGGACTCTTGCCCAAGAGTGTTGTTATAATTAGCATATATAAAGGTAGGGGAGTTAGTAGATGGGGAGCTGGAGGTATTGGGTAGATGGCGGGAATATTTTGAGGAACTTTTAAATGTCGATGAAAGGAGGCAGTAATTTCGTGGATGGCCGGGGGGGTATAACATCTTTTAGGAGTGAAGAAGAGCAGGATGTGAGTGTGGGGGAGATGGGTGAGGCATTATATAGAATGAAAGTGGGTAAAGCAGCTGGATATAGTGTTGGAGTGGTTGGTATTTTTGTTTAATAAATGTATAAAAGACTGGAAGGTACCTAGGGATTGGCAGGGACAAAAGATATTGTAAAAATTATAGGGGAATAAGTTTACTGAGTATACCAGGTAAAGTGTACAGTAGGGTTATTATTGAAAGAATTAGAGGTAAGACAGAGAGCAGGATTGCAGATGAGCAAGGAGGCTTTAGAGTGGGTAGAGGATGCGTAGATCAAGTGTTTACATTGAAGCATGTACGTGAACAGTATTTAGGTAAAGGTAGGTAAGTTTTCATTGCATTTAAGGATTTAGAAAAGGCTTATGATAGAGTGAATAGGAAAGCAATGTGGCAGATGTTGCAAATGTATGGAATAGGTAGTAAGTTACTAAATGCTGTAAAGAGTTTTTATGAGGATAGTAAGGCTCAGGTTAGGGTGTGTAGGAGAGAGGGAGATTACTTCCCGGTAAAAGTAGGTCTTAGACAGGGATGTGTAATGTCACCATGGTTGTTTAATATATTTATAGATGGGGTTGTAAAAGAAGTAAATGCTAGGGTGTTGGGGAGAGGGTTGGGATTAAATTGTGGGAAATAAAAACATAAGAAAGAAGGAACACTGCAACAGGCCTGCTGACCCATGCAGAGCAGGTCCATGTCTGTCCCCCCCCCCCCCTTCCCAGATTAGACCAATGACCCACTCCCCTGGATTAGCCAAATGACCCACCCAGTCTGGTCACCTCCACTCAAGGATGGAGCACTGCACCAGACCCAGCAGCACAAGCTAGTCAGGTCCCACCCACACCCACTCATGTATTTATCTAACCTATTTTTAAAACTACACAACGTTTTAGCTTGAATAACTGTACTCAGGAGTTAGTTCCACTCATCCACAACTCTATTACCAAACTAGTGCTTTCCTATATCCTTCCTGAATCTGAATTTTTCCAGCTTGAAACCATTGCTGCGAGTCCTGTCTTGGCTGGAAATTTTCAGCATGCTATTTACATCCCCTTTATTTATTCCTGTTTTCCATTTATACACCTCGATCATATCCCCCCTAATTCTACGCCTTTCGAGAGAGTGCAGATTCAGGGCCCTCAGTCTATCCTCATAGGGAAGATTTTTGATACACGGGATCATCTTTGTCATCCTCCTCTGTACATTTTCCAGAGCATTTATATCCATTCTGTAATATGGTGACCAGAACTGAGCAGCATAGTCTAAATGAAGCCTAACCAAGGATATATGGAGTTGAACAACCTGAGGACTTCTATTATTTATACTTCTAGATATGAAGCCAAGAATTCTGATAGCTTTATTGCAAACACTAATGCACTGTTGTCTTGGTTTTAGATTACTGCTAACCAGAACTCCTAAATCCTTTTTGCAATCAGTAGTATTAAGATCTACATTATTTAGCTTATGTGTGGCATGATTGTTTAACTGTCCAACATTTAGAACTTTGCATTTGTCAATATTAAACTGCATCTGCCACTTCTCCGACCATTGCATCAGTCTATTCAAATCATCCTGGAGTGCTCTAGTGTCCTCATTAGAATTAATTGGAAGGCCTATTTTGGTGTCATCAACAAATTTGTTTGTCGCTATTTATTCCCTCATCTATGTCGTTTATGTAAATTGTGAACAACATCGGACCCAACACTGACCCCTGAGGAACACCGCTTGTGACGTGCCCCCATTCTGATTTCTCCCCATTTCTGTAAACTCTCTGCTGTCTATTTGTCAGCCATGCCTCTACCCAGGAAAAAATTTCTCCTCCTATTCCATGTGCCTTAAGTTTCCTCAATAGCCTCTGGTGTGGAACTCTATCGAAAGCCTTATTGAAGTCCATATACACAATATCATATTCATTACCATGATCTACCTCCTCAAACACCTTAGTGAAAAAAGTTAGTAAATTTGTAAGACAGGAACGCCCCTTTGTAAAACCATGTTGAGATTCATTAATCAATCTGTGCCTGTCAAGATGGCTACGAATTGCTTCGGCAATTATTGATTCCATAAATTTTCCCACTATAGAGGTAAGGCTTATTGGTCTATAGTTCGAAGCCAAGGACCTGTCACCTGCTTTGTAAATAGGTATTACATTTGCCATTTTCCACTTATCAGGCACTGTGCCAGTTTGTAGTGATATGTTAAAAAGATTTGCCAAAGGTATGCTAAGTTCCTCTTTACGTTCCTTTAACACCCTTGCAAACAGTTCATCAGGGCCTGGGGATTTGTTAGGTTTTAGTTTCTCTATTTGTCTGAGGACCATGTCACTAGTTACTGCAATCGTACATAGTTTATTATCATCCTGTTCTACATAATCTATTATTTCAGGAATATCGCTAGTATTTTCCTGGGTGAAAACTGAGAGGAAGTAGGTATTGACAATTTCACACATCCTTATCACTGTCAGTGATCTGACCAGAGTTACTCTTAAGTGGGCCAATCTTGTCCCTAATCTTACTTCTGCATACCTGAAAGAACCCTTTTGGGTTAGTCTTTGAATCCCTTGCGACCTTAGCCTCATAATCCCTTTTTGCTTTTCTTATTCCTTTCTTTATTTCTCTTTTAATTGAATATATTAATTTCTTAACTGCCCATCCCCTCTTTTGATACGCCTAAATATGCCTCTTTTTTGACCAGTGAGATGTTTTAATCTATTGTTCATCCATTTGGGATCATTTTTGTTAGATTTAATTTCCCTACTCGGAACAAAAGTTGTCTGGGCAGCTAGAACTATGCTCTGAAAAACGTCATATTGGCACCCAGGATCACCTACCTGACCCATAGTCAGGACATCCCAATTTAGCCCACCCAGGTAATTTTTCAGTCTCATGAAGTCGGCCAAGTGAAAATCTGGGACAGAGATTTGATTGCAGTTATCTGGGTAATTCCATGATGTGTATATTGAAACTAAGTGATTTGTGATCACTTTTCCCAAGCTCATCATTAACCTCAAGATTATTAATTAGTGAATCTTTGTTGGCAAGAACCAAGTCAAGCAGATTGTTTCCTCTAGTTGGTTCTGTCACAACCTGTTCTAAAAAGCAATCCTGAACCGTATCAAGAAAGTCACTATACTCAAGATTTCCTCTCATATTGTTCCAATCAATTTGTCTAAAGTTAAAATCGCCCATTATCACAACATTTTCATATCTTGATGCCTTATGAACTTCGTCCCATAACAGCTTACTGTCCTCCCTATCAAGGTTTGGGGGGCCTATAAATCACACCCAAAATTAATTTCTCACGTCCCTCGAGAAACTGTAGCCAAACAGATTCTGTGTTCGATGTTTCTAATCTTATATCATGTCTAAGACAACAATTTAAATTTTCTCTGACATACATCGCCACACCAAAATGGGAGTTGAAACAGTTACTTTCTGCTAATGATACTGTGCTTTTGGGAGATTCTAAAGAAAAGTTACAAAGGTTAGTGGACGAGTTTGGGAGCGTGTGTAAAGGTAGAAAGTTGAAAGTGAATATAGATAAAGAGTAAGGTGATGAGGGTATCAAACGATTTAGATAAAGAAAAATTGGATATCACATTGGAGAGAGAGAGTATGGAAGAAGTGAATGTTTTCTGATATTTGGGAGTTGACTTGTCAGCAGATGGGTTTATGAAGGATGAGGTTAACCATAGAATTGATGAAGAAAAAAGGTGAGTGGTGCATTGAGGTATCTGTGGAGACAAAAAATGTTATCCATGGAGGCAAAGAAGGGAATGTATGAAAGTATAGTGGCGCAAACACTTATATGGGTGTGAAGCTTGGGTTGTAAATGCTGCAGCGAGGAGGCAGCCGGAGGCAGTGGAGATGTCCTGTCTAAAGGCAATGTGTGGTGTAAATATTATGCAGAGAATTCATAGTGTGGAAATTAGGAAGAGGTGTGGAGTTACTAAAAGTATTAGTCAGAGGGCTGAAGAGGGGTTGTTGAGGTGGCTTGGTCATTTAGAGTGAATGGAACAAAGTAGAATGACTTGGAGAACGTATAAATCTGTAGGGGAAGGAAGGCGGGGTAGTGGTAGTCCTCGAAAAGGTTGGAAGAAGGGAGTAAAGGAGGTTTTGTGGGTAAGGGGCTTGGATTTCCACTAAGCATGCATGAGTGCGTTAGGAGTGAATGGAGCCAAATGGTTTTGGGGACCCGACGAGCTGTTGGAGTGTGAAGGGATTCAGGGAAACCGGTTAGCCAGACATGAGTCCTGGAAATGGGAAGTACAATGCCTGCACTTTAACCCTTTGACTGTCGCGGCCGTATATATACGTCTTACGAGGTACCGTGTTTGAAGTATATATACTCATAAATTCTAGCAGCTTCAAATCAAGCAGGAGAAAGCTGGTAGGCCCACATGTGAGAGAATGGGTCTGTGTGGTCAGTGTGCACCATATAAAAAAAATCCTGGAGCACGCAGTGCATAATGAGAAAAAAAAAACTGATCGTTTTTTTTTTAATTAAAATGCCGACTTTGTGGTCTATTTTTGTATAGTATTTATGGTTGTATTCTCGTTTTCTTGGTCTCATTTGATAGAATGGAAAATATATTATAGAAATAGAGGTGATTTTGATTGATTTTACTATAAAAAGAACCTAGAAATGGAGCTCAAAGTAGGGGAAATGTTTGATTTTTGCCAATGTTCAAAAGTAAACAAATGATGCCATTGTCCAATAAATGTCCAACTAGCCATTCTAATATGCAGTCATGAATGGGTTGATGTTATTTATACAATTATTACAGTATTGCAGTAGTCTGCATAATAGTAAGTCTTCTATTTTTTGTTTGAATAAAAATTCAAAATAGAAAGCAAGAGTAATATCAGAGGAGCCTGGAGACATGACTGATGAACAAAGAAAATGTTATTTTGAGGCCAGGAATGTCTGCATTGTTCATTCTGGACCATATTTTGAAATTGTCATATTTTTTAGTTTTCGTGAAATTGGCCAAATTGCAAATTTCTGACCACATTATTAGGTAGTTGAAATCGGTAAATGGGCAGTTTCTTGTACTCAATCGATAGAAAAAATGGAGTTCTAAAGAAATAGCTATGAGGTTGGGCGACTGGAACAATGAAATTAGCCGAAAATAGGGCTCAAAGTGGGTGAAATCGCCGATTTGTAAACAGTGCCGAGGTCGCTAACTTCGCGAGAGCATAATTCCGTCAGTTTTCCATCAAATTTCGTTTTTTTTGGTGTCATTACAATCGGGAAAAGATTCTCTATCATTTCATAAGAAAAAATAATTTTTTTTTTAAATTTTGTGACACCAGGAGACACCTCAGGATTGGGGGTTGCGACAGTCAAAGGGTTAAAGAAGGAGTTTGGGATATTGGCAGTTTGGAGTGACTAAACTGTCGTGTCTGTGCGCCTCTTCAAAGACAGTGATTATGTATGAAAGTGGTGAAAGTGTTGACTGATAATGAAGTTTTTTTTCTTTTTGGGTTTTTCTTTCTTTTGGGTCACCGTGCCTTGGTGGGACATGGCCGATGTGTTAAAAAAAAAAATGTATGCTGTACAAGAATGTGAAATTATGTAAGAAGAGTTCATGTAGGTATATTAAAGTTTGAATAAAATTCAGTTGTGGTGTCTTCACATTTCTGGCAAGATTGCTGTTGAAAGAATGATGGTGAATGTGTGTTGTCTTTTTGGTGAGGGAAAGGACACCCTACCTCAGTGGTTCCCAAACTGGGGGTAAATTACCCCCTGGGGGTAATTTAACAATTTTTGGGGGGTAATGGAGGGGTGACAGAAAAAAAGTTATGAATTCTGAAAATCAAGAAAACAATGCGGTACCCGGTATGAGGATTATTGTTAACTTTGTCTTAGTATATAAAGAGAGCCTTGAAGTTGTTGGTATCATTCTCAACAACGTATCTGTGTGAGAAGGGCTTCTCAACTGTGCTGGGTATGAAAACAAAAAAGAGGACTCGCTTGAATGTTGCAAACGATGCCAGGCTGGCACTTTCAACCACGAAGCCAAGAATTCCTAAACTAGCTTCAAGTATGCAACTCCATCCATCCCACTGATGTTCTTGACATCTTTGGTAATAGTCATTAGAGATGCACAATGTTCAAATACAATAAATAAAAGAAAATATCTCAAGTGTTTTAATTTAGCCATATATATCAATAATAACAACATTTTGTGAAAGGGGTAACATGCTTTATGTGGCATGTTAAATTGGGTAACAAGCTGAAAAAGTTTGGGAACCACTGCCCTACCTTGATGGGAGGCAGTCAGTGTGGTTAAAATAAATTAGGCAGTGTTACAATGCTGCATATTAATTTTCAAGAGACATTATACTGTATATACATATTTTACTGTAGTATATCCCAAATTTGAATCAGCATTGTGATCAGCTGAATATGTTATTTGACAGTGATAGTGTGAATGATGATAAAAGTTTCTTTTTCAGGTCACCTTGCCTCAGTGGGAGATAGCCAGTGTTAAAAAAATAACAAATATTTGTGTACTTATTTCATTGTATGGTCTTAACAAAAAAAATAATAAACATTATTTTTGCAAGAAAGTTAAATTGCACTAACTGTTGGATAATTAAATATTATTTTATATTTTATTTTAGGAATGTCCAAAGTGCAAAGTGACTATTGAGAAAGATGGTGGATGTAATCACATGGTATGCAAGAACCAGAGCTGTAAGGCTGACTTCTGTTGGGTCTGCCTTGGACCATGGGAACCTCATGGATCTTCATGGTAATGCTTACCATGTGTTTCTCTTCCTTAAAATTCAACCCTCTATATAATGGACTAATGGGAGAATTATCTGAGTGTCTGTTCAATCAGAATACAGTAGAACCCCTGTATAATAGGTATGTATAGGATGTATGTACAGCAGGTCCCCGCTTTACGGTGTTCCACTAATACGGACATTTCAAATTATGACCAAAACTCGCTATACGGCTCCCCCGCCTGTCTTTCTAATACAGGCACTGTGCCCCATCCAGTTTGTTTACATTCTCTGTGAGCTCCGTAAGTACCACGTCTCTCCATTATGTCTGGAAACTTTCCAAAATTTCAAGTGTTTTAAAGTTATTTCATGTTTTGTAAATACTCTTATAATTATTCTTATGTGTACCTGTATGTAAATAAACTTACACACTGTTCTGGCATGCAGGTACACATTAAAATCACCAAGAGTATCTTATTAGTCTTCAGGATGCCATATTAATAATGATAATAATATAAAATAATAATCACTCTGAGGTGCATTAAATGTCGTATACTACGTTAACATAAACATTTTCATTAATCCATCTATGATATTTTTTCAAAATTATATAATAAACATACTACATAACATAAACATGATAAATACACCCCAAAGTAGAATAAATTAACATAAATATGAGATGTTAGGTGTAGATGAATGCGTGTGAACCAAAATCAAACTTGTTCGTCTACTTGTTCACATCCTCTGTCTCTCTCTCCTCTCTCATTTACTCGCTCTCTCTCATTTATTTGTTGTACCTCGTTTACTTACCTCTCACCCTACATTAAGACTACAAATATTTTATGGTAAGTGATGAGTGTACTGTATATGCATTTTATTGCTCGATTGTGCTCTAAATGTCATATATTACATGTGGGTGGGATGGCCTTGCCTGGCTGGCTACTATACCTCCCACACCTGACTTCCTGCAAATAAATACTACTCACCTCTCACCCTACAATAAGACTACAAGTATTTTAAGGTATGTAATGAGTGTACTGTATATGCATTTTATTGCTCTGGGGGGGTTTAAATGTCACAGTGACTCAAGAAATCGTAATGACACGACGGGCTGGAGTTTTGAGACTCTATGACCGCGGGTTCAATCCCGGCCGGGGGTATGGTTTAAATGTCACAGTATATTACGTATTTGTCGGGTGGCCTGGCTGGCTACCACACCTCCCACACCTGACTTTTTAAAATAAATACTACTCACCTCTCACCCTACATTAAGACTGCAAATATTTTAAGGAAAGTAATGAGTGTACTGTGTGTGTATTTTACTATTTATTGTTTTTAATGCCTAATTCTATGGCTAACTTAATATATGTTAGTGTAAACTTGTTATCTAGGGCATATATAAGTGGAAAAAATGACGTTCTGTTTTCCGGTGATGTCTGCTTTCCGGCGGTACCCTGGAACCTAACCTGCCATATAAGTGGGGCCCCAACTCTGCAAGGTTTACTACTATCCACTGTTTTGGTATCCATGGCAGATCCTTGGAATATATCCACCATGGATATGAGGGTCCTACTGTAATAGTAAAAAGACAATACAGGTCTCCCTCAACATTCGCGAGGGTTAGGGGATCAAGAGCCTCGCGAATGTTGAAAAACCGTGAATGTTTGGTGCCCCAATATATTGTAGGGAAATATATTACAATACTGCTTCCTTAACTTGTTGAACCATGAATAATCATAAAATACATGAAAACGTCGTAAATTGTACTAAATATATACATGTTATGCTTTAATAATGTATGTTATTTAATAACGTGTATGTTAATAACATGTATGTTATTAACCCTTTGACTGTTTTCGACGTATAAATACGTCTTACGAGCCAATGTTTCTGACGTATATGTACTCAATAATTCTAGGAGGGGTAGGGGTCGTCCTCGAAAGGGGTGGAAAGAGGGAGTAAAGGAGGTTTTGTGGGCAAGGGGCTTGGACTTCCAGCAAGCGTGCATGAGCGTGTTAGATAGGAGTGAATGGAGACGAATGATACTTGGGACCTGACTTTCTGTTGGAGTGTGAGCAGGGTAATATTTAGTGAAGGGATTCAGGGAAACCGGTTATTTTCATATAGTCGGACTTGAGTCCTGGAAATGGGAAGTACAATGCTTGCACTTTAAAGGAGGGGTTTGGGATATTGGCAGTTTGGAGGGATATGTTGTGTATCTTTATACATATATGCTTCTAAACTGTTGTATTCTGAGCACCTCTGCAAAAGCAGTGATAATGTGTGAGTGTGGTGAAAGTGTTGAATGATGATGAAAGTATTTTCTTTTTGGGGATTTTCTTTCTTTTTTGGGTCACCCTGCCTCGGTGGGAGATGGCCGACTTGTTAAAAAGAAAAAAAATTCTAGCGGCTTCAAATCAAGCGGGAGAAAGCTGGTAGGCCCACATGTGAGAGAATGGGTCTGTGGTCAGTGTGCACCACATAAAAAAAATCCTGCAGCACACATTGCGTAATGAGAAAAAAAAACTGATCGTTTTTTTGGAATAAAACGCCGACTTTGAGGTGTATTTTCGTATAGTATTTATCGTTGTATTCGCGTTTTCATGGTCTTAGGTGATAAAGTGGAAAACATATTACAGAAATAGAGATGATTTTCATTACTTTGACGATGAAAATGACCTTGAAACTGAGCTCAAAGTAGCGGAAATGTTCGATTTTTACCAATGTTCAGGAGTAAATAAATCACACCACACGTCCAATACACGTCAACTGGGGAGTCTAATATTCTTTCACTAGTGCACTGATATTATTTATACCCTTTTTACAATAATGCAGTAGTCTGCATAACAGTAAATTTTGTATTTTTTGTATGAATAAAAAATCAAAATAGAAAGCAATAATAATATAAGAGGGGCCTAGAGATGTGACTAATGAACAGAGCATATGTTATTTTAGTGCCACGAATGTCTACCTTTTTTATTCTGGACCCTATTTTGAAATTGGCATCTTTTTTAGTTTGCGTGAAATTGGCCAAATTGCAAATTTCTGACCACCATATTGGGTAGTCCAAATTAGTAAATGGGAGGTTTCTTGTACTCAGCTGATAGATAAAATGGAGTTCTAAAGAAATAGCTATGAGTTTGGTCAACTGGAACAATGGAATTGGCTGAAAATAGGGCTCAAAGTCGGCGAAATCGCCGATACGCATATGTCGCCGAGACCGCTAACTTCGCGGGAGCATAATTCCATGAGTTTTCGACCAAATTTCGAACTTTTAGTGTCATTACCATCGGGAAAAGATTCTCTATCATTTCATAAGAATAAATAATTTTTTTTTTTTTTTTTTTTTTTTTTTCAAATTGAGCGACATAGAATGACAGTTTCAGAAAGGGGCCTGAAACAGTCAAAGGGTTAAATACCACAGACTCCACCACTTCCTCAACCACTGCGAGTCCCTACTACCCTCCCTCCGACCCCCGCAACTGGCAGCCAGCCCTCCCACCACTCAGTGTGGTGAGTGTTTTGTTTGTTCATTATTTGCTATTAAACTGCAGAATAAATAATGTAAACCCATTCATGACTGCATATTGGAATGGCTATTAGGAAAGGTATTAGACGGTGACATCATGTGTTTATTCTTGAACACAGCAAAGAATCGAACATTTCTGCTATTGCTAATAATAACAATAGTAATAATAACAATAATAAATATGATATAATTGAAGAAGGAAATTGTACAAAAATACGAGGGAGTGGTTGACACATCGTCAGTGTGACTTTGTTTATGCTGGAGTGAACATTAGTCTCCCTACTCTTCCAAACATTTCACAATAATTCAGCGGTTGAGGCAGTGGTATTTAATAACATATATGTTATAAATAATAATAGTACATGTTATTATTAATCATGTATTATTATTAACATGTATGTATTTAATAACATATATGTTATAAATAATAATAGTATATATTATTAATAATATGTATTATTATTAACATATATGTTATTAAATACCATTGCCTCAATCACTGCCTCTACCACTCCAGTCACACTCAATCTACAAGCACCAAACACAATGAATTATTGTGAAATGTTTTGGAAGAGCAGGAGACTAATGTTCACTCCAGCATAAACAAAGTCACACTGACGATGTGTCAACCACTCCCTCGTATTTTTGTACAATTTCCTTCTTCAATTATATCATATATATTATTATTATTATTATTATTATTATTATTATTATTATTATTATTATTATTACTATTGTTATTATTAGCTGTAGCAGAAATGTTTAATTCTTTGCAGTGTTCAAGAGTAAACACATGATGTCACCGTCTAATACCTGTCCGAATAGCCATTCCAATATGCAGTCATGAATGGGCTTACATTATTTATACTGTAGTTTAATAGCAAATAATGAACAAACAAAACACTCACCACACTGAGTGATGGGAGGGCTGGCTGCCAGTTGCGGGGGTCGGAGGGAGGGTAGTAGGGACTCGCAGGTGGCGGGAAACATAAATATGATTTGGCGGTTGGGAATTCACGAATGTGTGAAGCCCATGAAAGTTGAAAACGTGAATGTTGAGGGAGACCTGTATAAGCACATAAGTACTTACTGTACACCTAATATAGTATTGTATACACAATTTACAGTTATACAGTGGAACCTCGGTTTTAGTGATTAATCCATTCGAAAAAGTCTAACGAAAACCGAATCGTATGAAAACTGAAGCAATATTTCCTATAAGAAATTATGTAAAGCCAATTAATCCATTCCAGACACCCAGAAATATTAAAATAAAATACATTAAAAAAAATATTAACAAAAAATACGAAAACCACGGTTCCATCGTACTGCAGTGAGCACTAAAAATAAAAAAGCTGAAAGTATAAATTTATTTACTGAATTTTGCCCATTAAGGTCCATCATATAGAGGGTTCATCATTGTATGCTTATCTTCGGTACTCAAAAAAGCAACAGATAAAAAGGGCTACAGGTTTGTGCATTATTTGTGTACTGAGCTATTGTGTTTTTGTAGCCTTATTTGTTTGTTAAATTAATTCAGCATCATTCTTACATGTGACTTATGTTGAAGTCTGTAAACTAGTCAAGATACATTAAGAAACTGTAAACAAAACTTAAAAGGCAGTTTTTATATTTTTTAGAATTCTTTATAAAACACAAGGTAGTATATAACTAAGTCATTCCTGTTACTTTTTAGATTTAAAAAAAATATCAGACATTTGTTACTGAAAGGGAGACGGTGTACTTTTAAATTTTATTTAACAGTTAATAAAACAAACTTGAAACAATTGAGAATGTTTTTCAAAAAGTGTTGAGAAAGTTTGACACTAATATAAAGAGTGGTTTACTGAATGTTGTTTAATTAAATCTTTGCTTCCAAAATGTCACCTCTGAAGTTTGCATCTGACTTGGTGCCTGTTTCTATAGTGTTTAAGTAGTTTTGATAAATTTTGTAAGGGGTGGATTTATAGTTACAAGAGTAGAACAAATACAAAATCAGTAGAGTAGATGAAGATACAATATTTTCAATGGAGTAACTGATGAGGTAGAGTAGCGAGTTGTAATGTATTAGTTAAACTTTGAGGTACAGATGCTCCTTGACTTATGATGGGATTATGTTCTGGTGAACCCATAATAGGTTAAAAATACAAGTCAAATATGGCTATATTTATTTATTTATTTATTTATTTATTTAGTAATTTAAGCATACAAACAGAGGTACAAAAAATACAAGTAAGAGCAGCATGCCAAAGCCACTTATATGCATAGCATTACGGGCTGGCTTAAAATTAACTTAAGATTAACTAAGCAATGATGAAATCAGTGATAAAACATTATTGTAAACAGATAACTATAAAGCACAAATGAGTATTACAAAGACAGGTCATATGGTTGCTTGCATTGCTGTACATTCAGTCGAATGGAGCATTCTATTAGGTAGTGTATTTAAAAAAATAATAAAGTTAGATTGGGTCCTAGGTTTAACATTTGTGTGATATAATTGTGAGTAACATATAGGATATACAATTTATAAGGTTCAGTTATTCAGTATTTATTTGGTTTTGAGTGAGTGAGTGATCTTTGAGAAGAGACTTGAATTTATAAACAGGTAGTGTTTCTTTTATATTTACAGGTAATGAATTCCAGATTTTAGGGCCTTTTATGTGCATTGAGTTTTTGCATAGCGTGAGATGGACACGAGGAACATCAAAGAGTGATCTGTGCCTTGTGTTATGGTCATGTGTTCTGTTGAGGTTGGCAAGGAGATGTTTGAGGGGAGGGTTAATATCAGAGTTAAGTGTTCTATGTATGTAATAAGTGCAATAATAAGTATGGAAGTTTTGTATGGTGAGTAGGTTGAGTGTTTTTTAATATTGGGGGAGTGTGCTGCCTGTAGTGAGAATTTGTTATCATTCTAACTGCAGCCTTTTGTTGGGTAATTAGTGGTCTGAGATGGTTAATTGTTGTTGAGCCCCATGCACAAATTCCATAGGTGAGATAGGGGTAAATAAGAGAGGGATAAAGGGCCAGGAGGGCTGACTGTGGAACATAGTACCGTATCTTCGATAGTAATGCCTACAGTCTTGGAAATTTTCTTAGAAATTTGTTGTATATGTGTATGAAATTTGAGTCTATTATCGAGGTGGATTCCTAGGAATTTTCCCCCCTGTTAGCTTTGTGATAGGTGATCCGTTTATTGTTATGTTAAGAGGTACATCTGTAGCTCTGTTACCAAACTGAATGAAGTAGGTTTTGTCAATGTTTAGTGTAAGTTTGTTAGTCCTCATCCAGGTAGATATTTTCTGTAATTCGTGTTTACAGTATTGGCTAGCGTGACTGGGCTCGGGTGAGAGAAGACGTATGTAGTGTCATCTGCAAAAAGTGTGGGTTTGAGTAATTGCGAAGCATTTGGTAGGTCATTTATGTATAGAGAAAGAGAAGAGGGCCAAGGACACTTCCCTGTGGGACACCAACTGTAATTGGTTGTGCGGAAGAGCTTGCCCCATTTGCGTACACATATTGGCTTCTGTTGCTGAGGTAGACTTGAGGTATTTGAGAGAGTGCCCTCTAATACCATAGTGTGACAATTTACGTGGAGCAAGTCATGGTCAACTGTATCAAAAGCTTTACGTAAGTCAATGAAGACCCCAGTGGGACTTCATTTTTCTCTATTGCAGTGTATATATGTTCTAACATGTGTATAATAGCATCATTAGTATTTTTATTAGGCCTGAATCCAAATTGGCAGGGGTTGAGAATGTTTTGGGAGATAGTAGGAGTAGATTCGTTTATGAATTAATTTTTTCGAAGATTTTTGAGAGAGGGTGTAAATTGGATATTGGCCTATAGTTATTCAACTCTGTTTGGTCTCCTCCTTTATGGATCGGGGTGACCCTTGCTATTTTGAGAACTGTAAAGGGGAAAGGGGGAGGATTCAATGGATTTGTTAAAGAGTGTTGCAATGATTGGTGATAGTACTTGTGACGCTTTTTTGTATATAAAGGGTGGTAAGGTATTTAAAATCTCCTGCCTTGTTTTTCAGTGCGTTGATAATAAGGGAGACTTCGTATGGGTTAGTCGGAGCTAGGAACAGTGTGTTCGGGTAGTTGCCAGTGAGGTAGTCATTTGGTGGGGTATCTGAGCTTGGGATTTTATTGGCAAGGTTTTGACCTATAGTGGAGAAGAAATCATTGAGTCTGTTTGCTGTTTATGTTGGTGGGAGTTGGGGTTCATCTGATTTTGCTAATTTATTTCGCTATGTCGTGATATCTTTTTTGTTCCCAGAATTTCTGATAGGGTCTTCCAGGTCTTTTTTATATCACCTCGTAAGTTGGATAATCTGTTCTCATAATACAATTTTTTGCCCTTCTTATCAGGCTGGTTAGGATTGACGAGTAACGTTTTGTTTGGTCTCTGGTTATGTGACCCATTCTGTACTGTTTTTCATATCGGTGTTTTTGTATTTATGGATTTGAGAATGCTGGGTGTTAGCCAGGGACTGTTCAGTCTCTTAGCTGTCATCTGTTTAGTTTTTTTAGGGCAGTGCTTGTATAAAGGTATTGGTCTTTTTTAGAAATTATTAAAACATTCGCAATATCTGTATAGATTTCTAGCTCAGTGTGCCAGTCAATGTTTGTTACTGCTGTTGTGAAGTTATTAATGGCTGCCTCATTGTGAAGTCTGAAGGTGACTTTAGTAGTGTCTTGGGGTATTTTACCAAGAGTTATGAGGAAAGTAGGTATGGTCTGTGGTATTATCTGTAATTATGCCTGATTTAAAGGGATATGGTGTTGGTCCAGAAAGTGGTCAAGTAGGGAAACACTAGTCTCTGTAACTCTTGTAGGTTTTGTTACTGTTGGTAGCAACATGCAGTTACTCATTGTGTTTGTGAATTCAGTAACGTGTGGGTCCTGGTCTTGCAGGAGATTTATATTGAAGTCACCTGAGAGTAGTAAGTGATCTTTGTTCATGCGTGCATCAGTTATCATACTTCCTAGGTTTTGACTAAATTGGCTAATGTTTGATTGTGGAACTCTGTAGATGTTTATCACTGTGAGAGGTTTTTGTAGGTATTTGGATTTGAATTTAGCTATTATATATTCCCCATGTTCATCCCTTGTGCAAGTATTACCTGGAGTTTACCTGGATAGAGTTCCGGGGGTCAACGCCCCCGCGGCCCGGTCTGTGACCAGGCCGCGGGTCTGAGTAGTATATAAACAAGTAAATTAATAACTACTGTCACTGAATAAGTAAAGAAACATATCATTACTGTAACTAATTACCAGTATTGAAAAGTAAATAAATGAGTACAAATTTATCCTCTCAAAAAATTACAGTACTGAATGTACATTGCTATTGCACCATCATAGTCAAAATAACATCAGTCAAACCATCGTAAAGCAAGGAGCATCTGTAGTACCGAGAGTGATATTCATTTCTCTCTCTCTCTCTCTTCTCTCTCTCTCTCTCTCTCTCTCTTTCTCTCTCTCTCTCTTTCTCTCTCTTTCTCTCTCTTTCTCTCTCTCTTCTCTCTCTCTTTCTCTCTCTCTTTCTCCCTCTTTCCTCTCTCTCTTCTCTTCTCTCTCATTTTCTCTTCTCTCTCTTTCTCTCTCTTTCCTCTCTTCTCTTCTCTCTCTTCTCTCTCTTTCTCTCTTTCTCTCTTCTCTCTCTTTCTCTCTTTTCTCTCTTCTCTCTCTCTCTTCTCTCTTTCTCCTCTTTCCTCTCTCTCTCTCTCTTTCTCTCTCTCTCTCTTTCTCTCTCTCTTTCTCTCTCTCTCTCTCTCTCTCTCTCTCTCTCTTTCTCTCTTCCCCTTTCTTCTCTCTCTTCTCTCTCCTCTCTTCTCTCTCTCTCTCTCTTCTCTCTTCTCTCTTTCTCTCTCTTCTCTCTCTCTCTCTTCTCTCTCTCTCCTTTCTCCTCTCTCTTCTCTCCTCTCTTTCTCTCTCTCTCTTCTCTCTTCTCTCTCCTTTTCTCTCTCCATCTCTCTTCTCTCTCTCTCTTTTTCTCTCTCACTCACCCTCTTTCTACTATTCTCATTTCTGTTCACCTCTCTCTTCTCTTCTTCTCCATTCTACATCTCTCTCTCTCTCTCAGTCTCTCTCTCATCTCTCTCTACATCTTTCTCTCGTGTCATCTCTTTCACTCCTCTCCCAATCTCTTCTCTCTCTCTCCTTCATTTTTCTCTGTATCGTTTACTACACACACACACAGTATTAGAGCATAATTAACTCATTGATGGTTTTAACCTTATCTTTCATTTTATAAACACAATGACTGAAATTATAAACTCTTATTTCAGCTTCTGTTATTCCTTATCATTTTGACAGGTACTCGTGTAATCGTTATGATGAGGACGAAGCTAAACAGGCTCGGGATGCCCAGGAAAAATCTCGTGCTGCTCTTCAACGTTATTTGTTCTACTGTAATCGTTATATGAACCACATGCAGTCATTAAAGTTTGAGCACAAATTATATGCTTCAGTTAAAGAAAAAATGGAAGAGATGCAGCAGCACAATATGTCATGGATTGAGGTAAGTTTAGCAACAACACTAAGATTCTAAAAGGATGGGTAAGGATGCTGAGGTTCAGATGGTCATTTGGTGTTAAATCCTTGTACTTCTGATAAGATGTCTGTTAAATGAATGATGAATGTGCTTCCTTTTGGTCACCCTAACTTATTGGGAAATGCCCAATTGGGTGAAAACGTTTTTGTCTCCCACTAAGGCAGGGTAACCCAAAGAAAGAAACACATTCACCATCATTCATTAAACTGCTGTCTTTCCAGAAGTGAGCTGACATTGCAATTCATATTACCCTCCAACCACAGCATCCCCACCCCTAATTCTTAGAGCAGGAACTTCCCTTCCCACCTCCAGGACTCAAGTCTGGCTAACCAGTTTCCATGAATTCCTTCATAAATGTTACCTTACAATTTAACATCACTTCCATTAAAAATCACTTGTCTCTACACCTGTCTAACATGCTCACACAAACATGTTGGATGCTCAAACCCCTAAAACTCAAAGCCTTTATCCTGCCTCACTCCAACCATTCTTCAGACAACCCCTACTACTTTCCACCCCAGATTTATACGCTTTCATCATCATTCAACACTTTCACCATCACTCATACATAATTACTGATACAACAGATACACTCAGATACAACAGTTTAGAAGTCCCACCAAACTGCCAATATCCCCACCAAGGCAGGGTGGCCCAAAAAGAAAAACTTTCACCATCATTCACTCCACTGTCTTGCCAGAAGGGTGCTTTACACTACAGTTTTTAAACTGCAACATGAACACCCCTCCTTCAAAGTGCAGGCACTGTACTTCCCATCTCCAGGACTCAAGTCCGGCCTGCCGGTTTCCCTGAACCCCTTCATTAATGTTACTTTGCTCACACTCCAACAGCACGTCAAATATTAAAAACCATTTGTCTCCATTCACTCCTATCAAACACGCTCACGCATGCCTGCTGGAAGTCCAAGCCCCTCGCACACAAAACCTCCTTTACCCCCTCCCTCCAACCTTTCCTAGGCCGACCCCTACCCCGCCTTCCTTCCACTACAGACTGATACACTCTTGAAGTCACTGTTTCGCTCCATTCTCTCTACATGTCCGAACCACCTCAACAACCCTTCCTCAGCCCTTTGGACAACAGTTTTGGTAATCCCGCACCTCCTCCTAACTTCCAAACTACGAATTCTCTGCATTATATTCACACCACACATTGCCCTCAGACATGACATCTCCACTGCCTCCAGCCTTCTCCTCGCTGCAACATTCATCACCCATGCTTCACACCCATATAAGAGCGTTGGTAAAACTATACTCTCATGCATTCCCCTCTTTGCCTCCAAGGACAAAGTTCTTTGTCTCCACAGACTCCTAAGTGCACCGCTCACCCTTTTCCCCTCATCAATTCTATGATTTACCTCATCTTTCATAGACCCATCCGCTGACACGTCCACTCTCAAATATCTGAATACATTCACCTCCTCCATACTCTCTCCCTCCAATCTGATATCCAATCTTTCATCACCTAATCTTTTTGTTATCCTCATAACCTTACTCTTTCCTGTATGCACTTTTAATTTTCTTCTTTTGCACACCCTACCAAATTCATCCACCAATCTCTGCAACTTCTCTTCAGAATCTCCCAAGAGCACAGTGTCATCAGCAAAGAGCAACTGTGACAACTCCCACTTTATGTGTGATTCTTTATCTTTTAACTCCACGCCTCTTGCCAAGACCCTCGCATTTACTTCTCTTACAACCCCATCTATAAATATATTAAACAACCACGGTGACATCACACATCCTTGTCTAAGGCCTACTTTTACTGGGAAATAATTTCCCTCTTTCCTACATACTCTAACTTGAGCCTCACTATCCTCGTAAAAACTCTTCACTGCTTTCAGTAATCTACCTCCTACACCATACACCTGCAGCATCTGCCACATTGCCCCCCTATCCACCCTGTCATACGCCTTTTCCAAATCCATAAATGCCACAAAGACCTCTTTAGCCTTATCTAAATACTGTTCACTTATATGTTTCACTGTAAACACCTGGTCCACACACCCCCTACCTTTCCTAAAGCCTCCTTGTTCATCTGCTATCCTATTCTCCGTCTTACTTTTAATTCTTTCAATAATAACTCTACCATACACTTTGCCAGGTATACTCAACAGACTTCTCCCCCTATAATTTTTGCACTCTCTTTTGTCCCCTTTGCCTTTATACAAAGGAACTATGCATGCTCTCTGTCAATCAATCCCTAGGTACCTTACCCTCTTCCATACATTTATTCAATAATTGCACCAACCACTCCAAAACTATATCCCCACCTGCTTTTAACATTTCTATCTTTAGCCCATCAATCCCGGCTGCCTTACCCCCTTTCATTTTACCTACTGCCTCACGAACTTCCCCCACACTCACAACTGGCTCTTCCTCACTCCTACAAGATGTTATTCCTCCTTGCCCTATACACGAAATCACAGGTTCCCTATCTTCATCAACATTTAACAATTCCTCAAAATATTCCCTCCATCTTCCCAATACCTCTAACTCTCCATTTAATAACTCTCCTCTCCTATTTTTAACTGACAAATCCATTTGTTCTCTAGGCTTCCTTAACTTGTTAATCTCACTCCAAAACTTTTTCTTATTTTCAACAAAATTTGTTGATAACATCTCACCCATTCTCTCATTTGCTCTCTTTTTACATTGCTTCACCACTCTCTTAACCTCTCTCTTTTTCTCCATATACTCTTCCCTCCTTGCATCACTTCTACTTTGTTAAAACTTCTCATATGCTAACTTTTTCTCCCTTACTACTCTCTTTACATCATTATTCCACCAATCGCTCCTCTTCTCTCCCGCACCCACTTTCCTGTAACCACAAACTTCTGCTGAACACTCCAACACTACATTTTTAAACCTACCCCATACCTCTTTGACCCCGTTGCCTATGCTCTCATTAGCCCATCTATCCTCCAATAGCTGTTTATATCTTACCCTAACTGCCTCCTCTTTTAGTTTATAAACCTTCACCTCTCTCTTCACTGATGCTTCTATTCTCCTTGTATCCCATCTACCTTTTACTCTCAGTGTAGCTACAACTAGAAAGTGATCTGATATATCTGTGCCCCCTCTATAAACATGTACATCCTGAAGTCTACTCAACAGTCTTTTATCTACCAATAGATAATCCAACAAACTACTGTCATTTCGCCCTACATCATATCTTGTATACTTATTTATCCTCTTTTTCTTAAAATATGTATTACCTATAACTAAACCCCTTTCTATACAAAGTTCAATGAAAGGGCTCACATTATCATTTACACCTGGCACCCCAAACTTACCTACCACACCCTCTCTAAAAGTTTCTCCTACTTTAGCATTCAGGTCCCCTACCACAATTACTCTCTCACTTGGTTCAAAGGCTCCTATACATTCACTTAACATCTCCCAAAATCTCTCTCTCTCCTCTACATTCCTCTCTTCTCCAGGTGCATACACGCTTATTATGACCCATTTTTCGCATCCAACCTTTACTTTAATCCACATAATTCTTGAATTTACACATTCATATTCTCTTTTCTCCTTCCATAACTGATCCTTCAACATTACTGCTACCCCTTCCTTTGCTCTAACTCTCTCAGATACTCCAGATTTAATCCCATTTATTTCCCCCCACCGAAACTCCCCTACCCCCTTCAGCTTTGTTTCGCTTAGGGCCAGGACATCCAACTTCTTTTCATTCATAACATCAGCAATCATCTGTTTCTTGTCATCCGCACTACATCCATGCACATTCAAGCATCCCAGTTTTATGAAGTTTTTCTTCTTCTCTTTTTTAGTAAATGTCTACAGGAGAAGGGGTTACTAGCCCATTGCTCCCGGCATTTTAGTCGCCTCATACGACACACATGGCTTACGGAGGAAAGATTCTTTTCCACTTCCCCATGGACAATAGAAGAAATAAAGAAGAACAAGAGCCATTTAGAAAAAGGAGAAAAAACCTAGATGTATGTATATATATATGCATGTGCGTGTCTGTGAAGTGTGACCAAAGTGTATGTAGGAGAAGCAAGATATCCCTGTTATCTAGCGTGTTTATGAGACAGAAAAGGAAACCAGCAATCCTACCATCATACAAAACAGTTACAGGTTTCTGTTTCACTGTCATCTGGCAGGACGGTAGTACTTCCCTGGGTGGTTGCTGTCTACCAACCTACTACCTATTTCTCTTTTTAAATTTAGTAATTTATACGGGAGAAGGGGTTACTAGCCCCATGCTCCCGGCATTTTAGTCACCTCTTAAAACGCGCATGACTTACGGAGGAAGAATTCTGTTCCACTTCCCCATGGAGAATAGTGATTGATTTTTTTTTCTTTTTTTTTTCTCTCTCAACAAGTCGGCCGTCTCCCACCGAGGCAGGATGACCCAAAAAAGAAAGAAAATCCCCAAAAAGAAAATACTTTCATCATCATTCAACACGTTCACCTCACTCACACATAATCACTGTTTTTGCAGAGGTGCTCAGAACACAACAGTTTAGAAGCATATACGTATAAAGATACGCAACACATCCCTCCAAACTGCTAATATCCCGAAACCCCTCCTTTAGAGTGCAGGCATTGTACTTCCCATTTCCAGGACTCAAGTCCGGCTATATAAAAATAACTGGTTTCCCTGAATCCCTTCACTAAATATTACCCTGCTCACACTCCAACAGATCGTCAGGTCCCAAAAACCATTCGTCTCCATTCACTCCTATCGAACACGCTCATGCACGCCTGCTGGAAGTCCGAGCCCCTCGCCCATAAAACCTCCCTTACCCTTCCTTCCAACCTTTTCGAGGACGACCCCTACCCCGTCTTCCTTCTCCTACCGATTTAAATGCTCTCCATGTCATTCTACTTTGATCCATTCTCTCTAAATGACCAAACCATCTTGACAACCCCTCTTCAGCCCTCTCACTAATACTTTTATTAACTCCACACCACCTAATTTCCACACTCTGAATTTTCTGCATAATATTTACACCACACATTGCCCTTAGACAGGACATCTCCACTGCCTCCAACCGTCTCCTTGCTGCTGCATTCACAACCCAAGCTTCACACCCATATAAGAGTGTTGGTACTACTGTACTTTCATACATTCCCTTCTTTGCCTCCATAGATAACGTTTTTTGACTCCACATATACCTCAACGCACCACTCACCTTTTTTCCCTCATCAATTCTATGATTAACCTCATCCTTCATAAATCCATCCGCCAACACGTCAACTCCCAAGTATCTGAAAACATTCACTTCTTCCATACTCCTCTTTCCCAATTTGATATCCAATTTTTCTTTATCTAAATCATTTGATACCCTCATCACCTTTCTCTTTTCTATGTTCACTTTCAACTTTCTACCTTTACACACACTCCCAAACTCATCTACTAACCTTTGCAATTTTTCTTTAGAATCTCCCATAAGCACAGTATCATCAGCAAAAAGTAACTGTGTCAATTCCCATTTTGTATTTGATTCTCCATAATTTAATCCCACCCTTCTCCCGAACACCCTAGCATTTACTTCTTTTACAATCCTATCTATAAATATATTAAACAACCATGGTGACATTACACATCCCTGTCTAAGACCTACTTTTACTGGGAAGTAGTCTCCCTCTCTTCTACACACCCTAACCTGAGCCTCACTATCCTCATAAAAACTCTTTACAGCATTTAATAACTTACCACCTATTCCATATACTTGCAACATCTGCCACATTGCTCCCCTATCCACTCTATCATATGCCTTTTCTAAATCCATAAATGCAATAAAAACTTCCCTACCCTTATCTAAATACTGTTCACATATATGCTTCAATGTAAACACTTGATCTACACATCCCCTACCCACTCTGAAACCTCCTTGCTCATCCACAATCCTACATTCTGTCTTACCTCTAATTCTTTCAATTATAACCCTACCGTACACTTTTCCTGGTATACTCAGTGAACTTATTCCTCTATAATTTTTACAATCTCTTTTGTCCCCCTTCCCTTTATATAAAGGGACTATACATGCTCTCCGCCAATCCCTAGGTACCTTCCCCTCTTTCATACATTTATTAAACAAAAGTACCAACCACTCCAACACTATATACCCCCTGCTTTTAACATTTCTGTCATGATCCCATCAGTTCCAGCTGCTTTACCTCCTTTCATTCTACATAATGCCTCACGTACCTCCCCCACACTTACATTCTGCTCTTCTTCACTCCTAAAAGATGGTATATCTCCCTGGCCAGTGCATGAAATTACCGCCTCCCTTTCTTCCTCAACATTTAAAAGTTATTCAAAATATTCTCGCCATCTACCTAATACCTCCATCTACTAACTCCCCTACTCTGTTTTTAACTGACAAATCCATATGTTCCCTAGGCTTTCTTAACTTGTTTAACTCCAAAATTTTTTCTTATTTTCATTAAAATTTCTTGACAGGGCCTCTCCCACTCTATCATCTGCTCTCCTTTTGCACTCTCTCACCACTCTCTTCACCTTTCTTTTACTCTCCATATACTCTGCTCTTCTTATAACACTTCTGCTTTGTAAAAACCTCTCATAAGCTAACTTTTTTCTTTTATCATACCCTTTACCTCATCATTCCACCAATCACTCCTCTTTCCTCCTGCCCCCACCCTCCTATAACCACAAACTTCTGCCCCACATTCTAATACTGTATTTTTAAAACTATTCCAACCCTCTTCAACCCCCCCACTACTCATCTTTGCACTAGCCCACCTTTCTGCCAATAGTCGCTTATATCTCACCTGAACTTCCTCCTCCCTTAGTTTATACACTTTCACCTCTCTCTTACTTGTTGTTGCCACTTTCCACTTGTCCCATCTACCTCTTACTCTAACTGCAATTGATATATGACTAAAATGCACTCCAGGATACACACACACACATTTTTCCTGATTATACTTTATGATGCCCATGTACCCCTGGTAAGGCAGTTAGTGAATGAGTGATGGTGAATATGTTTTCATCCTTTGGGTCACCCTACCTTAGTGGGTAGCAGCCAGTATCAAACAAATATTTTCAGTATTGTGTTCTTTTCAAATCCTTCAAATTATTATTTAAGAAATTTTCATGTTTATATGAGGTTATGCACTTTTATTTAACAGAATATATATCATACAAGATATGTTGTTGGTGAGTCCATATTTATTTTGCTCATATTTAATGTGTTCTTGATGAATTGAAGTTCTTTATAACTTTGAATATGAAGGATAAGTAAGTAAAGGGAAATTGTCTTAAGAAAGTTGATTATTACAGGTTCAATTCCTCAAGAAAGCGGTCGACATATTGTGTGAGTGTCGGCAAACATTAATGTTCACATATGTGTTTGCATATTACCTGCGGAAGAACAACCAGTCAGTAATATTTGAAGATAACCAGAAGGACGTTGAAAGTGCTACTGAGACTCTGAGTGAGTACCTGGAACGTGACATAACTCAAGAAAATTTGGCAGATATAAAACAAAAAGTTCAAGATAAATATAGGTAAGTGTTTTGTTAATCAAGCATGAGATGGTAAATATTTCTGGGCTTCATTAATGCACTCGGAGTAGTGTAGTTTGAATTAGCCTAAAAAGACGGGTTTACGTAATTTTAATTGACATGCGTTGCATAATTTTAATTGACATGTAATTTTAATTAACATGCATTGCATAATTTTAATTGACATGGGTTGCATAATTTCAGTTGACATGGGTTACATAATTTTAATTGACATGAGTTGCATAATTTTGATTTAAAAATAATTATCCTATCAGTCATGTCACTTGCAGTTGTGCCATTTTGAGAGTTTGCTGTCATGATCATCACACACTATATGAGTGCTGATAGAGTGAAAAGTGCATCACATTATGATTACCTACTTTCAGATTGATTCACTTAGAGAGGGTAAAAAATTGCAAAAAGAGAGCTAATGAGAGGGGTGGGAGGGGTTTTATCACAAATTTTGCTGAGAATAATAAAAAGTTTTAGAGTAAGTTCAGTAAGCTGAGAAAGCCTATGGGACAAATAGATTCAGCTGTTAAAACAAAAGAGGTGAGCCATTAGATGTAGAGGCAGAGGTACTGGGAAGATGGAGGGAATATTTTGAGGCATTGTTGAATGTTGAAGATAGGGAGACAGTGATTTTTTGCATTGGGAATATTAAATTCAAGGGAGAGAGTATGGAGGAAGTCATTGTGTTCAGATATTTGGGGGTGGACTTGTCGGCAGACAGTTCTTTAACCCCTTGACTGTCGCAACCCCAAATCTTGAGGTGTCTTCTGGTGTTGCAAAATTTCTGAAAAAAAAAATTATTTTTTCTTATGAATTGATAGAGAATCTTTTCCCGATTGTAATGACACCAAAAGAACAAAATTTGATGGAAAACTGACGGAATTACGCTCTTGCGAAGTTAGCGACCTCGGCGATATTTACGAATCGGCTATTTTGCCCTCTTTGAGCCCTATTTTCTGCTAATTCCATTGTTCCAGTCGACCAAACTCATACCTATTTCTTTAGAACTCCATTTTTTTCTATCGATTGAGTACAAGAAACTGCCCATTTACCAATTTCAACTACCCAATAACGTGGTCAGAAATTTGCAATTTGGCCAATTTCATGAAAATTAAAAAATATGACAATTTCAAAATAGGGTCCAGAATGAACAATGCAGACATTCCTGGCTCTAAAATAACATTTTCTTTGTCCATCAGTCACGTCTCCAGGCCCCTCTGATATTACTCTTGCTTTCTATTATGAATTTTTATTCAAACAAAAAAATAGAAGATTTGCTGTTATGCAGACTACTGCAATATTATAATAATTGTATAAATAATGTCAACCCATTCATGACTGCATATTAGAATGGCTACTTGGACATTTATTGGAAAATGACATCATTTGTTTACTTTTGAACATTGGCAAAAATCAAACATTTCCCCTACTTTGAGCTCCATTTCAAGGTTCTTTTCATAGTAAAACCAATCAAAATCACCTAGATTTCTATAATATGTTTTCCATTCTATCAAATGAGACCAAGAAAACGAGAATACAATCATAAATACTATACGAAAATAGACCACAAAGTCGGCATTTTAATTAAAAAATGGTCGGAGTTTTTTTTTCTCATTATGCACTGCGTGCTGCAGGATTTTATTTATATGGTGCACGCTGACCACACAGACCCATTCTCTCACATATGGGCCTACCAGCTTTCTCCTGCTTGATTTGAAGCCGGTGGCTCATAAGATGTATATATACGACCGAAACAGTCAGAGGGTTGAGAGATGAGGTGAACCATAGAATTGGCAAAGGGAATAAGGGAGGAGGTGCACTGAAGTACAGGTGGAGACGAAGAACATTATCCATAGAAGCAAAAAAGGGAATGTACCAGAGCATAGTAGTACCAACAGTGTTGGCACTACCTGCTCTGGTTCGTACTTCTCACCCATACAACACTTGTATGAGTGTGAAGCATGAGTTTTTAACATTGCAGCAAGGAGGAGGCTGGAGACAGTAGAGATGTCATATTAGAGGCCAATGTGTGTGGCGTGAATATTATTCAGAAAGATTCAGAGTTTGGAGATAGGGAGGTGTGGAGTTATCAAAAGTATTATTATGAGGGGTAAGGAGACGTTATTAAGGTGGTTTGAATATTTAGAGAATAGAGAAGAACTGGATGACTAAGAGGGCATATAAATCTGGAATGAAGGGAAGGAAGGGTGGAGGTCATCTTAGGAAAGGTTGAGGGATGGGGGGTTTTGAGTGCTAGGGGCTTGGACATCCAGCATGCACATACAAGCCCCTACATGTTGTATGGAATGAATGGCAGCAATTGCTTTTTATGATTGAACATGCTGTTAGTGTGTGAGCAGGATAACATTTATGAAGGAATTCAAGAAACCAGTTAGTTGGACTTGAGTCCTGGAGCTGGGAAGTACAGTGCTTGTACTCTGAAGGGGGGTGTGGATGTTAGTTTATAGGGTTATTTGACCAGTGATATCAGCACACTTCTGGCAAAGCCGTGAAAGTGTTTTCTTTGTCAGGTCACCCCATCTTGGTGGGAGACAGCTGGTGTATGTAAATATATTATTAAAATGTATCTACCATATATTTTCATCCTCTTTTCTTATCCTCAGGTACTGTGATCAGCGCCGTAGAAAATTACTAGAACATGTTCACGAAGGTTATGAGAAGGACTGGTGGGAGTACTCTGAACCCTAAGATAGTGAAATTCAAGCATATTAGTGAAGTTTTGTATTAATTTTTCAAGAATCTGTGCTATATATATATTGATAACAATTGAAAATATTGCATACAGTATATACGTGTTCACAAGTTGATAGATGTTTGGAGTTAGCAAGATCAGTCATAAAGCTAGCTGCTCAGAAATCACTAAGGCTGATGTTCATACTGTTTGAACATTGAACATTACTTATGAGTTGGATAATAACTTTTCTTGTATTTGTTAAACACTTATTTTCGACAGACTGCAGTAGACACCCGTTAATTCGTGGTGTTTGATTCATAATCCATGATGATTTAGTTACTGGTATCATAAATTATGGGACAGATATAGAGATTACTGGAACATTAAATTCCCACCTCCCAAATTTAAAAATATATAATGGCAGTTACATTGAGTTTCTTCAGCCTTGTGTATACCCTGTATTCATGTGTTCACCCCTCTAGTTACTAGCCACATTCACTGTGCTTAACCCAAAATACACACAAAATCCAAAGTACTCCAAGAGAGGAAAATCAGGACTTTTGTTTGTCTTCAAATCTGAATCATTGTGTCCCACTCTGTTTCTTCATAACTAATCTTCCTTATGAGTATCAGGTTGGATGTCCTTCCTCCTCCATTAGCACTTTCTTTGCTGATAACTCATTACTTTCATTAAGCCCATCTTAGCAGAGTTTTATTAATAATATTCACAGTATGTAGACGTTTAAGAACTACCAGTGTAATGAAACTAGATCTTACTTCATGGTATTATGCAGGTTTACATTAGCCTCCAGACTGCAGCAGTTTAAAAATTTTATATTAAACTAAAATGGAGCAACACACCCAGCATCTATATATGTTAATGGTTGTTAGAGATTGTTGTTTCCTGTGGCTCAGAGAGTAACGACTCCCTCACTATTAGTGGATGGAGGATCGAGCCTCCACCACTCCTTGCGGGGATGACCCACACGTGTTTAGCGCTTTATTTTTTTTATTGTTTTATACTTTATGGTTAGAGCAGGCCTTCAAAATTGGAAAGAAAATATTAAGAGGTAAAAAGTATTATGAATGTGCAGGAAATTAAAGATAAGTGTACAATATGTTGACTGTAAGTAGAAGTTTGTAAGATGTTTCTGAGATACATATTCACAAAGAAAAGAGTGTAAAACATTAAACAGACTTCGGTTTTCTAATCCTAAGATAGGACAGTTGTACCTTCCTGAATTATAGCTGCCTAACATCTCACTTCATTAAGAATTGTCAGGGGTAACTGATGGTCTGAGAGTTTGTCATCCATCCATAGACTGCACAGGGATATTTAAAAATGATTTTATACTTTAAATGGAAAAGTTTATCTTATTAACCTGTAAGTATGGCAGTTTAGGAACTACAGAAACATGGAATTAACTGGTGTCTACTGTGGGCAAAAAAAAAAAAAATCAGTTTTAAATCGAGATCAGTTTCAAGTAATAAATGGGAGTCTTAAATGGCTCTTAGCTTATTTATTCTTATTGACATTCCTGATGAGAATCAAGCAAGCCAGGCATGAATCACAAATATACTGCTGAGTGACACTTAATGTCAAGTTATTGAAATATAATTTGATGCTGAAATCTGTTTGTATTAGACATATGTATTTAAGCAAAACTTAATGAATCAAGGGCATACATACTTATTAGTCATCTAAAAATGGTAACATAAGACTGTCTTCTTGCTAGTAATTAGGGTGGTTAAAGTTTGGCAGTGATTTAAGCTTGACAGTGTGTGAGAAAAGGGAAAAATCTCTATGCAGTTCTTTCTTGCTCTCTCTCTTACTCACAAGAAACACACACACACACACTCACATACACACACTCCACATACACACTACTCACATCACACACTCACATACACACACATACACACTACCACACACTCACATACACACACACTACACACACACTCACAACCACACACATCACACACACATACATACACACACACTACACACACACACACATCACATACACACACACATCACATACACACACACATACACACACACATATACACCACTACACACACAACCACTACACACACACTACACACATACACACCACTACACACACATACACACACATACACACACACAATCACACACACACACACATACACACAACACACACACACACTACACACACACATACACACAACACACACACATACCACACACACACACTACACACACTACACACATACACACACATACACACACACATACACACACACAACACACACACATACACACACACATACACACACACACATACACACACATACACATTCAAGACACTGTACACCGTGTATGTCAGGCCCATACTGGAGTATGCAGCACCTGTTTGGAACCCGCACTTGATAAAGCACGTCAAGAAACTAGAGAAAGTACAAAGGTTTGCAACAAGGTTAGTTCCAGAGCTAAGGGGAATGTCCTATGAAGAAAGATTAAGGGAAATCGGCCTGACGACACTGGAGGACAGGAGGGTCAGGGGAGACATGATAACGACATATAAAATACTGCGTGGAATAGACAAGGTGGACAAGGACAGGATGTTCCAGGGAGGGGACACAGAAACAAGAGGCCACAATTGGAAGTTGAAGACACAAATGAGTCAGAGAGATAGTAGGAAGTATTTCTTCAGTCATAGAGTTGTAAGGCAGTGGAATAGCCTAGAAAATGACGTAGTGGAGGCAGGAACCATACACAGTTTTAAGACGAGGTTTGATAAAGCTCATGGAGCGGGGAGAGAGAGGGTCTAGTAGCAACCGGTGAAGAGGCGGGGCCAGGAGCTAGGACTCGACCCCTGCAACCACAAATAGGTGAGTACACACACACACACACACACACACACACACACACACACACACACACACACACACACACACACACACACACACACACACACACACATACACACACACACACACACACACACACACACATACACACACACATACACACACACATACACACACACATACACACACACATACACACACACATACCCCACACACACACACACACACACACACACACACACACACACACACACACACACACACACACACTACACACACATACACACACATACACATACACACACACACACATACACATACACATGCACACATACAGTTGGAAGCTGAAGACACAGATGAATCAAAGGGATGTTAGGAAGTATTTCTTCAGCCACAGAGTAGTCAGGAAGTGGAATAGTTTGGGAAGCGATGTAGTGGAGGCAGGATCCATACATAGCTTTAAGCAGAAGTACGATAAAGCTCATGGTTCAGGGAGAGTGACCTAGTAGCGACCAGTGAAGAGGCGGGGCCAGGAGCTTGGACTCGACCCCTGCAACCTCAACTAGGTGAGTTCAACTAGGTGAGTACATACATACACACACACACATACACACACATACACACACATATACACACACATACACACACATACACACACACACACACACACACATACACACACACATACACACATACACACACATACACACACACACACACATACACACACATACACACAATACACACACATACACACAATACACACACATACACACACACATACACACACATACACACACATACACACATACACACAACACACACACATACACACACACACACACACACACACACACACACACACACACACACACACACACACACACACACACACACAACACATACACATACACACACACACACAAACACAAACATACACACAAACATACCTACGTACACACTTAGATGAACTGAATAACACCTGCAGCCAGTGCTCGCCTGGCATATCTGAGAGTAACTTTTCAGGAATCTCAAAAAAAAAAAAAAAGAGTCTGGATGCTTTATACAACATATATAGGACCCATCCAGCACCAGTATGGAACCCACACCTGAGTAAGCATATTAAGCAACTGGTGAAATTGCAGAATTATGAAAACAGACTAGTTCCAATTCTAGTGGGCATCAGCTATGAAGAAAGTCTAAAACAATTGAATTTGATGACTGTAGGGGAAAGAAAAACCACAGGAGACATGATAACATACAAGATACTCAGGTATTGATAGTGGAGACAGGGGTGAGCTGTCTGAGAGGCAGGAAACAGGTACTTTGGGGCACAACTGGAAGTTAGAGACAGATGAGTCACAGGAATGTCAGGAAGTGTTTCCTCAGACTCAGGAAGTGGAATAATCTCAACTAAGAAGAGGTGGAGGCAGACTCCATACATAATTTTAAGAATAGGTAGTATTGGTACCAACACTCTTGTATGGTTGTGAAGCATGGGAGGTGAATGCTGCAACAAGGAGAAGGCTGGAGGCAGTGGAGATGTCGTGTTTGAGGGCAGTGTGTGGTGTGAATATCATGCAAAGAATCTGTAACTTGGAGACTAGAAGGAGGTTTGGTGTTTCTAAAAGTATTATCTAGAAGGCTGAGGAGGGGTTGTTGAGGTGGTTTGGACATTAAGAAAGGCTGGAATGAAATAGAATGGCTTAGAGGGTGTATAAACCTGTAGTGGAAGGAAGGTGGGATAGGGGGTCATCCTCCGAAAGATTGGAGGGAGGGGGTAAATGAGGTTTTGTGTGCGAGGGGCTTAGACTTCCAGCAAGTGTGCATAAATGTGTTAGATAGGAGTGAGTGGAGGCACACCTCTGGCAAGACAGGGATGGAATGAATGATGAAAGTGCTTCTTTTTTTTCGGGTCAGCTTGTCTCAGCGGAAGATGGCTTATGTGTTAATAAAATAATAAAAGGTATGATAGGGCTCACAAGTCTAGGAGAGAGTGAATCTGGCAGGCAGCAAGTTGAGAGGCACGGCCAGGAGCTAATGCTAAATCCCTCCCACCACATATTGGCGAGTACATTTGTGTGTTGCACACTCACACATACATACATATACAGGGGGCCAGAAGCTGCAACCACAAATAGGTGTGTACATGCACACATACATGTATACATGCATGCATGCATGCATACATACATACATACATACATACATACATACATACACATGTATATTTCTCCCCTAACTCCCTCTCCCTGGAAAACTTCTCTTTCACCATTCATTCTAAACCCTCCAATCCTCATTCTCTTTCTCCTGTCTTACTCTCTATTAACCTTTTTACCAAATATTCCACCCTACCCCTAATCTTCCCTTACCACTTCCCTCCCTTCCTTTTTCCTCTCCTCTATACTCCTTCCCTCCCCTCTATACTTCTTCCCTCCCCTCACTCAGTCTTATATTTTTTTAATATTTTATATGTTTTACCTTGCTTTGCTTAATATAAATTAATACACAAAATTCTATTGTAAAAAGTAATGGTATTTTTAAATCAATTTAAGCATTAGATCTAACTAAATTTAATTATCCAGAAATACTGAATGATACTGATACTCTCTTTTAAGTGGAGTTTTTTTTTTTTTTTTTTTTTTTTAAATATATGTGATCATGCTGTGCGTAGAATAGAACTATCTATTGGCGTCTGTTACTCCAGCACATTGTAGCTAATGTATAAAATTACTCTCTTTATACTGCAGTCAGACTTCATGAAAAGCAGCTCCTGAAGTTTTGCTACAATCTAAAGTATAGTTTCCTAATGACTGAAGCAGTATTTCAGTCAGAGAAAAGATGAAAAAAGAGCTGTGCTTTTGCAGTAGCTTTGCCTATATAATAAACAAATTGTCCTTTTTCATACATTTCTTGGGGGTAGATGTTTCTTATTGGAAAGTGTTCTGGTCTACAGTTTTGATTCTGTACACTGGCTCTACTTAGCCTCTTACACGCAACCCTTCCTCCTAAGCAAGCGTTCAGTAAAACCAGTATGGCACAAAAATGTGAACTTAGAGATTTTTTCTATCATGCTTCCTCTGTCTTTTCAGTGATTTCCCATCTTCTATTCATACTTTAAACATGTAGTGTTTCATTTATTGGTGTTAATATATGTTAGAACTTGTTAAATTTGGCATATTGACTTAAATAGGGTGTGTAAAAAAATTGGCTTCAGTGTATAAAATTAAAAAGCAACGTTGGTGTTAGGAGGACAGGTTGTTAATGTGGCATCACTGGAACATTAACAGGCATTAAAATGCTTGTAAAGTCATGTTACCAGTATGAAGTAGAACTTGTGTATGATGATGCAAACATTGACTTGCCTCAAAGTGGGGCCTCACATTGCAGTCCATGTTAGAATGGATATTTCGGAAGGTTGTTATTTATGAGAGATTATTGTGAATAGAGATGCAATGGCTGATATAGAATTAGCAGCTAACATGGTTTAATTCTATGAAGAGCAGTTTAATAATGATTTGTACATAGGTATTTGTTTATTTCTGGCAGTGAGATGTCATTAGCAGGGATAGAATTCCTGGGGACTCAAGAGAGTGTACTTGCATTTCTTTGGCAAATGTTCTTAGATTCATTGTAGAAAAATAGTTAATTGAGTGCCTATGTTGCAGGGCAAGCAAACTGCAAAAATAAAGAAGTTTGTGTGGATAATGCTCACAGTGTTGCTGCAGCTTAATTGTCAAAGGGTGTTATTTACAGCTTCAGCCAAGAGGTGTCTGCCTAGGATGCAGCAAATTTGTGGCAAGGGTTTGGTTGCTTGTAACTAAGTCATATTCTATTATTCATTACATGCCATGCAAGGTGACTGTTATTGCAACTCAGTATTAGTATATGTTTCTAAACAGAAGCTTGATGACACACTTGTTCTCTACAGTTGACTTTAGTTTAATTTATAATAATAATAATAATACTCGGCATTCTAAATAAGTCTTTTTATATCTTTGATTACAGTTCATTA